AAATTTCTATAAAGGTAATAAAAAGCGAATTAAATAGAAATTTCAACCATGCAAACTGATCGTAATATCTAACTGTCATGCTTAAAATCGTATCGATCATACCTTAGGTTCTTTTCCCTCTCTATATTGTTATACATACACATCATTTAGAATTTAAAAAGCGAACTAAATTACATGTTGACATTTATACCAATGCTTTCACAAAATAACTTTACCACATAAAATTAAATACAAGCAGTCTGACAACACGCAATGAACTTACAGAAATCCTTTTTTGTAAAAATTACATAAATCAGTTTAGCTATGAATTGTAGATACTCTTTGCTGACAGGTATTGAATAGTACAAAATATCTATTATTTCTGATTATCCCTTCCAACAAAGTGATTTTGAATCATACAGTCTACTAACTAATACAATGTACCTTGATCCACTGAATTCGATCAATCAGGTCTAAGGACTGAACAACATGACACTGGTGACTGCAAAGTTACCAATTAGTGCGAATGTCTGAAATCATGGAGTTTTTTGGGTCACTATAATCTTGTATTTGCATCACTGAATCTGAATCATTCATATTGTGACACAAACTACAAAATCACTTTCATGTAAACTGTGATCACTGTTATAAGATTCGTCCACAATTGGGTAGCATCATTGTTTTCAATGTATGATTTTGAGCAGCAGATTAGTGGACTCTAATCATTCAACTTTTACCCATTTGGTTACAAGTTCGAACCTCGTCCCATCTTCATTGATTTAACGTGACCAGGTAGTACCATCTACTCTTACACAATAAATAATAATAGGATCTGAATATAAAAATCTTATTTATGTATTTATTTAATAGATTTACTCCCATTACGCAACAGTCACAAACAGGAAGTAAGCTTGTATACAGTCATATAGTTATACTATTTCATACAAAGACGTGATTAAAGTTGCAGATTATTTGACCGCTTATTTAACCAGCTAGGCTATACACAATCAAAAAATAATGAGACAACTGATATTGTAAACACCAATTCATAGTGGTGAGAAATGAACCGATTAAAACACATAAGACAGTAAACAACAAAGAAAAGTCGTACGAACACACAATATTTGAATACACCTATTAGGTCATAGAATAAATAATTCAGTGGTGAAGTGCTGTAACATGGTAACATACAACGCTAACACAATCTTACATAAGTAAACAGATTTTATTCACAAAAACACTAAGCCAGATAGCCAGGCCCTAATTTTATGTGTATGGAAGACCTAAGAAACCTATGTCTTCTGATTGTTTACTTATTAAATGTCCAATTATGTTTACTTTTCTACTTAATATTTGGCGTTTGTGCATATTATTTTATTAAGGAAAAACACATTTTGATGGAGATTTGTCTTCTCTTGTGATCTATATTCGCTCAATGACTTATATGGCCAGTTAGTTATTATTTGAACATTGTGTTACTGAGTATCATTACAGATCAGCATTTCCCTTCGTAAGTAGCTGTATATTGTCAAAAATGACATAATTTCAAAAACATATATAAGACTGGATTTATATTGTTTAAATTTTCATGGCAAGTATAACACTATTCTAAGCTAAAATGTAATAGTTTATGTATTGTAAGAGTAGCCTCTCGTTAGGACTTCAAGGACACTTGTGTTATGATTAGGAATTTGACAAGCAAATGAGTTTTGAAGTGTCAAAATGAATCAACAGAATGTCGATCGATAAATGGACTGCTGCTTACGAGGCATATATTGGAAGACAACTGTCCAGTAGAAGTATTTTTCTCCCAACAGAATAAGAATATATACAAAATATTGAATATAGAAACAAGCATGATCAGAAATGATTAAATAAATAGGTGGTAGAAGGATATGGCAACTAAAAGCTAATAGCTCTTTAAAGATATGATCAGATTGTTCGAAATGCATTGCGTACATATACCACATAATTCTGATAAACTTCGTTTTCTCACTGCATTATCAAAGATATTAACGTCTAACTATCGAGCTTATTCCTTTCTCCATCATTATTAGCATACTCATGATTCCGTTTGGTAGCAGTGGAGATTTATTTGCATTTGAAAATACTTTTCACTAGACTGAAACCAGATCAGTAAGGCGTACTTAATGGTTGCCGGTATAATGCGAACTAAATTGGAACTGAGAAATTCACTAAAAACACCAAACTGAATGAAATACGTCAGTAGAGGAAATAATGATAAGGTATATACCATAGCAAAGAAATAGATCTAACAAAACACTTTCCAGGTAGAATTCTAGTCTGAAATTTGGATTTCAAAAACCTTAACGTCAAGTACTTATGAATGTAGATTGGTTTTAGTGAATTTTGTGGATGATAAGAAATACGGAATCAAACGCCATATTTTCCGATTCCCCTAGGTGATAAGAATATAGTTGGTTCATCCCGTTGTAGCGGACGCTACTAACAATATTGCTTGTAGGTAGTATATAGCGGGACGTAGCCTCGAAGTCATCACAGTCGTCAGACGGAATGGAGAGTTTCAGTATATCGAAAGCAGGGCTTTGGCAGAGCACTTGATGACCAAACAAGAAGACGATTTGGATCGCAGAACACAGTGCGAGATGCAAATGGATGTTCGAAAGCTATGTATACGTATTACGCAAACGCTTTGTAATTTCTCTTAATAAATAAGAGTTCTACCCATTGTCTTGATGTAAATTTGTGGTAGCTGCCAGGATGTAAAACAAGAGTGTATATGTGTATGAACAACAATTAATTTGTATCTCACGGAATGGTCTGCAACCCAAACTGTCTTCTTGTTTGGTCATCAAGTGCTCTGCCAAAGCCGTGCTTTCGATGTACTGAAACTCTTCATTCCGTTTGATGAGCGACGACTTCAAGGCCACATCCCTCCATATACTACCTAAAAGCAATCTCATGAGTAGTGTCCACTACACTAACACTTACTGAATCATGTGAACAGATACTTATGAATGAGGTAGACAACAGGTTCGAATAAACAAGGAGGATTGAGAAACAAAATTGAAATAAAAAGAAGTTTTCCAATGACAAATTGCATGTGATAACTTATTAGAAATATACTTATGTTGTAACAACGACACGTGAATACAATGTGTTTTTGTGACCAAATACAACAGAGACGTAAAATAAACAGAATATCGTGATATACAGTAACAAATCATACTTATTAAGAATGATAGCATCACAATAATAATAACTGACAGTAATAATGATAATAATTAATATTATTATTATCATTGTGATTTAGACATAAACATGTAAACAAATTCTGCTGCCTTTCTTGACGAAACCTATTCAATACCATATCGATTTTAATGGTACATTGAACATCAAATTGTAAATTTACTGGCCTTTTTTAGTAAATTCCATGAAAATTATGGGAACGATTGTGATCATATTTATCAAAAATAGTAACTCTAGATGTTATGACTTTAAGCCCAGCTAATCATCACATAATTTATTCGCCAACTGAAATACGACTTATTCAATCTTAGTACTGTGACAAACCAATGACGTTCGATAGGTATGAGCAGCCTAGAGTCCTTATTGGTCCTTTTTCCTCCTAGCCCTCACAATTCAGTCCAGAACACCAATACCAGCTTCCACTATGACAGTCATTTATTTCAAACATACTTGGTTTATATACCAACTAAACAGACCATATAACACTATAAAATAGGAAATAGCAGTTATACAAGATCAAGCCAAAAAGTGGCTGTGAACGTGGGAGACTGTAATCAATAAATTGAACGTAATTTAAGAACGGTACATCGTACAATGATAATCTATAGGTCAAAATGAGGCTTATAATAAGATTAATATAGATATACATAATCTAGTCATACAATAAGAATATATACATAATATTAGTCCATTAATAGGTCTCGGAAGTTATCTATAATTTAATCTTCACTAAGACAACACTAGGATAGTTCAGAGAAAAAATATACCTGTTTTTTTCAACTAAGTCATTAATAATGCAGTAGAAAAATAAACACTTCACTATGGTGAAAGCAGACTATACGGTAGTTTCTAAAAACAAACTTATCTGCAGTATGAAAATGAATAAAACACGTTTATAACTCTTAAGATCAGTTAACTAGAATTGACAAATTTACTACACACCAATACTGACGGATACATAAGCACTAGATGGCCGTATTTACCCTTTCTTATATACAAGGAAACAGCTTACTTAAATCATTATTTATCCATCAAATATTAACGTACAGTTAGAAAAAATAAAATAATTGAGAATATTTCCGGCTCAGACGAATGTTTTAAGTAATGTAGTTATCCGAGTAAGACGAACACATTGAGGAGCTTTCACTATCGTCCTGGATAACGACAACAAATAGAAATAGCGGTTGATAATATTTCTTGCTTTGAAGTGAGTACAACAATTTTTTAAATTTCACTGAAATCATGAACCGATCTAAGTTAGACAACGTTAGAGAACGTTTTCGAAATATATCATTCAGCCAATTAAATTCTACCTTGAAATGATAACCATTTCGGACTTCATTAGTATTGATTTTTTACCTATCATTTTAAATGCAAAATATGTTTCGCCTAAATTACGCCCAAACTATTTGACGACCTGCTGTTTCCCTAAAACTAACTACTTGTGGTTACATTATTTTATGTGTAAAAATTAGGAAAATGGAGCCAATTTTCTAAAAACCTTCGATCTTGGATCGCCTGAATTGAGTATAAGTTTGAGGTCACTCAATTGTGAGTGGGACAAAACCTAAGCTTTTCTTTAAATAATAAAAAAACACCAAAAGCGAGTGTGTATTATGACTTCGTGGTTCGTATTTCAAAATGTTGTGTGAACCAATAGAGTTGGTTTCTGAAATTATTTTGTTAGTAAAATAAGGAGGGTATAGTTTATACTCGGCATTTAGGACATCCTAAAAACCCAAATCGTGATAAAAATTTACAAGGATATAATAACAATGGAAACAAATTACCTCACATGGTAAATTACCACGTTCCAAAATGTATAAGTGATGTACAGCAGTTTGACGCTGGTCAAACGGATGATTAGCAATACGAAATAAATTGAATGAGTGACCCCGTTTACACGCAGTGAACAACAGACTTCCAGATGGATCAAACTTTAAGAGAGCAACACCAGCCCAACGATGAGCCTGAAATGAAAAGTAGTTCGGGACAAAAAATGTTTTAGAAGTTAGAGAAGAAGAAGAACATTTACATTGAGCGATCACTGAGTAATAACAAATGTTAAGTAAGTGTAGTTTATTATATATTTATTTTAACACAGATATTGGTACAAGGAGGCACCAAATACATATGCGCCACACAATCTTATTTGATATGTGCGAGGGCTGTGATACTGCCCGGGTGCCCAAACCGAACCATGTGCTTTCCTTAAGGGGTCGCACCCGGAGCCTTCGACCTGAAGGTCTGATCCACAAGGCAGTGAAGCATTCCAAGGAGATGCAGTCCCATAGAAGCCGGTGACCAATAAATGGTTCATACTCCACTTATTCCTTCAAAATACTGGAGCCCATGTGCACCATTGGTTTGGAATCAGGGTTTTCCAACTCCCTAGGTGGAATCACCGTGTCCACCGGCCCGGTTAAAGTGCCGGACATTCGCTTTTCGTCCTCTCATTTTCGTAAACAACACCCGTGGTGCGAGAAGGCAGTAAGACTTCCCTGGCAAAGGCTATATACGTGTGGCCATGTGAGAGCATTTCAAGAGGGAGAGCGGACTCTCCCCACTCTCGGCCGTACCAGGGCATTTGGGAGCTATTGCTGATTTAACTCTATCAGGAAGGTTCTAATCCTATAGGGAGAATCAATGCCCTCAAGAATACAAGTGGTTAGGGGCTTAAAACAAGGAAGTTTGTGTCAGTGAAACGAAACGAGATTTTCAAAACCTTCAGAAATGTGCAACTACATTTGTTAAAAATAGCAATAAGGTTTTTAAAAAATATCAGCAACTGGCGATACAGGGAGTTTATCGAAATCCATATCGGTGAAAATTTGGGTAGTGTCAAAACATTTAACAATGAAATAAAGTAACAGCTTCCTCATATGAAAATCCATTAATATAAATCACTAGCATGGTACGGATTCGTACACTTGGCTTTAAACTACATTTGTATAATCTGACAGATAGTAATACTATTCAGCTCCACAAACCAAAGTGAAGCGGGGCTCGAACTCGCAGTCTTTACAACTGAAAAAGAATTCATAGCAACTTGACTATTATAGCACAATGCTTCGAAACTACGAAACACATAAGATATATCTGTCTGTGCAAGTAAAATTATAGTCTGGCCCCCGAATGCTCTGGTACGCTCGAGAGTGGGGAGAGGCAGCTGTCCCTCTCGAAATGCTCACGTAGTCACGCTTAAACAGCCACTGACAGGTAAGTCCTACTCACTGCCTTCTCGTGGCACTACTGTTATTTACGAAATTGAGAGGACGAAAAGCGAATGTCCGGTACTTTAACCGGGTTGGTGGATATGGAGTGCGTTGGAAAACCCCGATTCCAAACAAGTGGTGCACAGGGTCTCCAGAATCCTGGGGGAACAATAGACATATGAACTTATTGTTGGTCACCGGTTACCATGAGACTGCATCTTCTAACGTCGCTCCACTGCCTTGTAGATTAGAACTCTAGGTCAAAGGATTGGGGAGTGGCCCCCTAACAAAACCACCTGTCTTGGTTTGGGCGCCCGAGATGCATCCAATTCCTCACACAAATTGAATGATTCATGTGGTATATATATATTTGGTGCCTTCTTGTACCAATGTTTGTGTGTTTAAGTAGGTAAATAAATAAATAATCGTCTAGTAAAGTTGCCAATGTCATACTAGCACATAGACCGATTAATAATCCCTAAGATTTTGTATTTTATCAACCATCGGCTTTTATTTGGTGGACAGGTATGCGAATAAATAAGCATGTCGACAAAGTTCTATTATCTTACCCCAATCAAACTAGGAGTGAAATCATCCTGATAAAATAATTACTTTTACCTTGGAAAGTGCATAAGCAAGATTGTGGGATTTAAGATCCAACCCATTATAAAAATCCCTAGTAAACAAAACACACAGTACTGAATAAAGAAGTTATTATTTTTAATAATATTAAAAACAGAAGATGAATTCTTACAGAGGCTGGTGGTCACAGGCGAATTCAGTCCCAAACCTACTGCTATGTTCGTGATATTATGATATCAATTTGGACAGGCGAACGGGATAAAAACCAGCGAACCAATGACAGGACGGAGCTAAGCTATTTCTCTGCGCTCCAGCCCCACTAACTAGAGGAAGAAAACCAGATTCAGCCAGGGAAATATATAATTCCACACGCAGACCGGTAGAACGAATGACAAGCACATAACTCATGACTACTTTATACAATACCAAAATGTCCTTGAACACCATCATAAAATAGAGTACTAAAAGAGGAAAGGAAATAATGATGCTAAGATCCTTCCAGACAGGAAACACAAGCTGAGGGTAATAATGGGCGCTTTTTTAGTGAAACATATTAGTCCAGAAGTAAGCGAATAACAACATATCTATAGTCTTACACTTACTTCAGGAATGAACGCATTGCAAAAAATTCTGGGAATTACGTGAAAGAATACTTAAAACATATATCCTAAAGAATACAATAACCTACAATCAAAAACGTGAGATTTACTTGATAAACGTCTAATGAGAAATAATAAACAATGATTGGGCCGTTATTTATACAGAATTATAAGCCCAGAATATGAAATGTTTCAGCACTGCAAAAGTGTTGGAATATTAGACTGAACAAATTTCAGAATCTTGGAATAATTGTCATGGTAACGAACATACGTTAAGATCATATACCTTAAACATACTTTATGAAGATCATTTTCATGATTAAAACGACAAGCAGTGAATGTTCATTTTGTTCAATAACTAAAACTAATATGTTAATTCCATGGAATTTTATTTTCTGTAAAACTACTTTGAGCCTGAATATGTTGCCATCCTACTAAAATCATCTTCCAAGTAATCAATTTGTGTACTTGGATTTGAGTCACGTTTTTTGCGTAAAAGCTAATAATACTGTAGTGAACGAACACTCAGGTGGGGAAGACCAATTTATTGCTTAATGCAAAACTACAGAGCGATTCAGTAAAATGTGAAAATCACGCATCAAATACATCATTTGCACATCACCTTTGAATTGTCTTTGATGAGCTTCAGTGTTCCTATATTCCCGTTGTTATATTTATTGCTTTCACCCTTCTTTTCATCTCAACCTTCTTAACTTCCTGCTAGTAGACATTCCGATTCTGACTGGTGATACATACTATTTATATTTACAAACATATGTAGCGCATATCACAATACTACCTAGTCATGTAAACCAAAGAAGGTGGAGTGGGCTTCGAACCTGCGACTAGTTAAAAGTGAAATGATACAATCAGCAAGCCATTGTTCCGTTTCTACTATTAACTAGAGGTGTAAATGAATGGCGATCATAGTGTTGATGTTTTTATTATGGAATTTTTTTAACATCAATAGTGTTATTTTCAAGAAATAGCCGCACGTAAACTGAATTCTTCATAAGTATTGGATTTAAATGATGAAATCACGGTAAATAAATTTCGGGTAGTATGAATAAAAAAATAGATCGTGACCCCTAAACCTATTTATGTCACTGAAAGGAGTCAGTGTGATTTTCAATCAAAATATTAGGTTCTGTGGAAGATATATGGCTTGATGATGAATACAAATATAAGAAATGTGTAATAATGGCACTGTCGCAACTAGGAGGTCTACATATTAATTAAGCTTCCAGTTCCTCAGTAATGATATTATCTTAATCTAGAAAAACACTTCTGTGACCTGTTGCCACATAGTGGTCTAGTAGATGATTATACTAATTTGCATTGATAGAAATTATCACGCAGTTGCAATTATGGATAAAAAACGACTGTTAGTTTAGATGTATAATAATTACTGATAAGATATTCAACCACTATATCACCTAAACAAGCTTCTTACTCTGATTCTCATAGTGGTAGTTTTATAACCAGGAATCTTCATACTAATATTTTTGATATAAACTGGTGAAATTAAGTTATATAATCAATTGAGACATGTGGAAAAACATGTTTACAAAAATACATACCATGAAATGAGCAACAATGGCTCCCGACCCACCAAATTCATGAACATTCAAATATTTCACTCCTGACATTTTAATACTTGTGTGTTGATTATTTGGAGAGCATGATTGAGCTCTTTGATTAGTACTATTATATTGATTTGATGAGTCAGAGAGATTTGAACCAGCAGAACATAAACGAACTGATGCCGTAGCATCTTCAAGTTTTCGCAAAGTCGCATGTTCACAATTTAATGTATGCAAATCAATTATTGTTACGTAACCGGGTGATATGGATGAGTTATTCACCTCTGAAGTAATTAGACTAGATCCATGTTGTGGAAACGAATCTGATAAAGTTGTTTGTGGGACTTGATGTTGAGAATCAAGATGATTATTACGCAAATTTGGTGAATTCGGACCCAATGAACTAGAAACAACTGAAGTAGCCAGGGCCGAAATCCCTTCCCAAAGACGCTATAAGAGTATGTAAGGTATCATACACATCCAAAAATTAATCAATGTTGAAATAAAAACAAACAAGAAAAATGCAAAACAGTCGCTATCATGTAATTTCCACACGGGCCGATTACGACACAATCCTATAAATCTAAAGGAATCTACTACAGTTTGAACAAACACAATGTTAGAACTAGTTAGAGTTACTCATTACTTCTGGTCACTATATAAAACTGGCAACAGCTGAACCTAATAGATTACAAGAAACATAAGAACAATAATATAAAGCTTGGGAATAATGCTAATTACATGTGAAACTACTATAATACCAACAACTTTAATCGTAAAACACGCATTATAATTGGCTGGTATTTTAAAAGAACGTTATTAGCTTTATCACACTATAACAGACAATTATCAGATAAATTTTTGCTCTAAACATATTCAAATGTTAGATTCCGAAGGTTAACGCTATTGATACTAGACAAAATAAAAAGATGTATGTCTTAAAAAATCATTTTCTAATGCATACCTAAATGCGCCTCAATAAGTCGATCGGCTTGTATTATTTTGTGTCATACCCAACTCAACAATAAGTTTGACATCAAATAAATGCTTTCTTTACTTTTGTAATTTTTAGAGTGCAATTGAGAATTAATTTTTTTTAAAAATTGATACACTTATTTGTGAAAGAATTGAAATGAATCTATCACAATAGAACAGATTCATCGATAAAACTATATGTGATATCAACAAACAGCATAAATTACTTTTTTTTAAATATCTAACGAACACAAACGATTAATCTAATTTTAACACAAGAAATATTTGATGAAATGCTTACACAGTTTGTTTATTTGATACAATTACTGTCTAAAACAATGATAAATTTCTATGTAATTCGTATCATCTAGTATTTGTGATGTATGTTGAGTGTGTACGGTGTCTAATTTACAATAAGACATTTTTAACGTACAAAGTTTGATCGATTTCCAAAACATTAATATTTCTCAAATAATAATCATAACAAAATACATAAACCTGAGAGAATAAACCTTACAATAATTCAGCGATCATCTAAACAGTTTCAAGTGAGATAAAATGAACATCCAATAAGATTCAATTTTCATGTACTACCCAGCATTGTTGATTATAAAATTGTGATATTTGCATAAAGAACTTCGTTCAGTCATCACGTGATTTGAAAGGGGGATAACACAAGTTAAACAGATAAAGTAATCAGCAGTATATAACAGTACTTCTAAACTGCTCATATTTTGCTTTCACGACGTCGTCTACTGATTAAAAGTACGGGTCTATGTACTTGACTTTCAGTCACATTACCATAGACAAAATTGAAAACAATGAGTTTGATACGAAATGGTTTTGTAAAAATATATGCATTTTAGATAATTTTTCATCTGTTTAGCCAATAGTGTGATAGGAAATAACATATTAAAATGGAAACAAAGTCGGAACATTGCAGAGACATTTGTAGCTTAGCCTTCGCACTTAACGGTTTTATTTCAGTAGCATTTTTGATGAATCACCAAAATATCTTGGTTATATGAATGTATTATTTTAAACAACAACCACAGAGTCAGAAATAATTTTTTCTCCACATGCAAAAAGCACGTTAGTATTATAGTGCTACGGCGTTTCAAGAGCACTTTTCAAATAACTTGATACCGATGATTACTTTAAAAGGGTCTTAATATAACTCCTGTTCAAAGCTAACCATAGTCTATTTCATATATTACTACTGAGTCAACTGAGATAAAAGAAAGCCAATTGTTTTAATATTAACCAGTGATTCCTTCACTCCCTCAACATAGATTAAACACTGCATGTATCGTCCATTTATTTCTTCTGATGAATTTACCAGCCCCTCAAACTTTGAATATGGTGATAACATATTTGAAAAATCCAAAAGCAAGAAATATTTAGACATACTAACAGATTATGGTCAAATTGAAGAAGTTTCCTTACCTTATTCATACTCAATACTGTTGTAGTTAAAGGTTGTGACTCATCTGTACTAGCGTCGCCACATCGGGACAAATGTTGGTAGATAGGCTGAAAATCAACGCGTAACAAAAAATTACTGAAAGTTTGTAAGGCGTGAGTCTTAAATATTTATCGAGAAGCGGAGTGTTCTTTATGTATTTATTGAAGGTAAGCTGAGTAATTTTGACAGGTTATATTCCAAGACTTTAAACTCCAATTAAAGAGTAAGAAAGAGAAAGAGCTATACAAGGAATGTAATTCATTAGGTGCTCAAAAGTCTAACTTTGGATTGAATACATACTTAAAACACAAATTCTGTAAGTGCCTCTAGTGTTCCAGATGATACAGTTGATTCTTTAACAAGTGTCAACGCTTAACCTTGAAATTAGCCTATGGTAACGCTTCGGTTTGGTGTTTTGTAGCGTCATAATACTCGGGATTCCTTGCAGTAAATCTTTAAGTCTAAATGAGGTTAATTAATTATTTTCCATTGCAATTACGCTTTATATAATGCTACAGTTGTGACCAATGACTATAAAACACCCTTATTTTTTAATGGACTGGAGTTTTTGACAATAATGGTCATGTTGACAAGTATCTCCCTGTTAAGTCCAGTGCTTAGATTTTTATTAGACACCTGTTTTCTGTTAACGAACAAACATTGCATAACCATCCTATCCCATGATTTACTAAATAAACAGTTCGTCAATGGGTCTACTTTATAGCCTGTTTGATCACTAAATTTTGTAAGTGACAGCTACATTATTTGTATTCCTGATTATTACTCTGCCGCTAATTGTTCTTTTAATCAGTCATTTAATCGTAGCCGTTTGAAACGCTTTTATCACAATTATTATTAACAACCAACAGTTATACATAATAAGTTGTTCACAATTCATGGGTTAATAAGGAGACAGCCCTTTACCTGTTTCTGTTTAAATGAGTAAATACTGGCATGAACTTGAGACAGTATGTATGGCTTAGAATCAAAACACATATGTGCATACAGAGGCCACGCAACAAGTCTTAAGTGCGTGATTTGGGTCTGCATAATGAATAATCAACACAATACCAGGGCGGCCTGCTTGAGCATCTGGGCTACCTGTTCCTGCCATCTAGATATTTCAACAAGTTATCTATTGTTGTTTGTTTTAATATATAATTATGTTTATTAATCGCATAACCTATTCTGCTGCGTTTCTGAAAAGTGTACAACCTTTCATTGTCAAAGTTACAGAAAACTCAATAAGAGACAATATGGTTGCTGGCAATGTACAACGAAAAGAATGTACATTATTCAGTTGTTCATTCACTGAAGTGCTAACATCTAACTGGCGATTCCTCAATATTTATCGCCAGGACCGACCAAGAAGAAAGAAACGGAAACTTGTTGAAATACTTTGCGCTGAGAATTCTATATTGTACCAAAATTATAATATTGAATAAAGCTAATAATAATAATAATAATAAGTTACGCCGTAAATATTACCTAGAACAAGGTTTTATTTATTTACTTTTTAACGAAAGTAAAAATTAATCAGGTTTTGAGTATTCAAAATAATTGTTCCCACCTCAATAATAACTAGTAATGGTACACATATCAGTAGCTGTGAGCTCCACATATAGGAACAAGAATGATAACCATGATGCTAACTGCGATAGTGATATGTAATATATAGTTATTAGTTACTTTGTCTGTTACTGAATATTAGGCGATTTTCAAACGAAAAGCACCTACAACCTATAAAAATACGAGAGTTGCGGCTTTCATACATATTCGTGTAAGTATTAAGTGACACTAAGATAGAGGCTGAACAGCCTGAACAGAGTACGCTAAGTGAATCAAAACAACTTTTATACTGATTAAAATGATTACTTCAGCTTTGTATCACATCAGAAGCTACAAGTTTAACGTTTAAGATTACAAGTAGCGGAAAGTCGGTTGTCAGGCTATCTATACTACTACATAGCCTAACGCTAGTCAGCAAGAGATAATACTAACTCATTCCATATCTATTCCTCAACTTCCCCTAGCATATTTCGAATTAAACTGATTTCATATGCCGTGTAGCAACTCCGACCGATGGACTCCAGTGGACTGTGTTTGGATGCTTATGCTTATATTGAATATCTAAGTAATAAAACTAATAATAATAATAATAATAATAATAGTAGTAATAATGATAATAATAATATAACAACTAGCCCATTTACTAAATACTTAAGAACGAGTCAAGCTGTGTGGGAACTAATGATGTTACTCGGTTGGCCAAACCGAAGTACGAGGAGCGGAGGTTGACTTAATGGTTGGAAGTCGGACAATTGAACTACAAAACTACCGCTCCAATGAAATATGTTTGCCATGAGTGAATAAACAAGGAATCAAACAATCACTCATCGAAGCATTTTATATTCGGCCAAAAAGGCGGCGAGGCTATAAGTTATGGACGAACCATTCACGTACAAGATAGCAGGTCGTGGATTTTGGTGCGAAATTCACTCATCCACTTGGATAAATAGAGTTTTGGCATTATAGCTGACGTCAGTTCGTGATGAAAACCCGAAATCTAATTCCTAATCTTAGTCATCAACTGTAAATTATAACTATAATTCCTCGCATAGGTTCATAACTCTCATCTAGTCCTAGTTATTAAGTAGACACTCACAATGTCAGTCTAGCGTCGCTCAAAGGTCGTCCATTAACTATAGTCTCACCAGGTACATATATGTTAAAAAGATGAACCAACCTTAGAATCTGCGAAGGCCAACCAACGAACCCCAAGCGAAGAAGGTACACTTTTCGGCAAGAGATCTGGCCAAAGTGTTGATTTTACATCTTAAAAATGTTTGTTAGAAAAAATAACCTACATGCTATCGTATAGAGTTCTGTAAGAGTTAGTGCTGAGAATACTGTTATTGAATCAGTTCGTGTTACTACAACAAATCTAACAGATGATACACCGAACTAAGTGAACCTACCTGTCGTTTGCATCTACTGAGAGCGCTTTCGACTCTAAGTAATACGACAAAACTACTTTGCGATTGCACAAAGAAATAAACCGCACCTGCCAATGAGAAGATGCACAACTACACCAAAATGCGATGTCAAAACTAAGTTCTTACCTGAAAGTATCACAGATAGCCATGAGAGGTCTGCTGGAAAACAAGGAATCACCAGTGTCTTAAATACAAGACTAATTAAATTAAAAACACCTACGTGGAGGAGTAGGGAGCAGCTTAAGGTCTATTGTACATGTATTTCTCTCTGCATACAGTAGGGTGGCATTACCACCAAACTAAGATGTTAGTTTAAAAAAGAAAATTACCGAAATTCCCCATATGTATGATCCTTTACAAGTGACTAGAGATAAAACAGTAGAGTAGGCGGGGTTACATCCTAAGAACTTTAATTTGGGAGACATATCAAACTTACTGCTTGCGTCACATTCCTCAAATTTCACGCTAAACACCTGTTCTGTGGAGCCACACGTACGATACTGATTCCTGGGCATATAATCACTTAGAGCACCCATAACACTGGTAACAAGATTCCTCTCACTAGACAAATAAGAACTAGTAGAACTTAAGTCTACCTGGACTTTTCTGGAGACACATGAACAAATGGCTGCATTATGTACATATAATGAAGTATCAGTAAGCCAAACAAACTACAGAGGCACAGTTACATATTACAAAATACAAGAAAACCTTGACAGCCTAGTGACCTTGGGTACTAAAGCAAGTGACTCAAGGCCAACCAGTCCAATACATACATAACCTTGTAATATTTTATTGAAAACCAGATGGCAAACTAATTCACTACCAAATCTGAACTTATTCTACGTGCTTTCTTCTCCATTGTTGTTCTAATTCACACATTGTCTCAAACACGCTGACCATCAAGCATTTACGGCACGCAACCTACCTTAAAACTAGACTCAAATCCACAAGTCATTGAAGGCTACATAAGTAACAAGCAAAGTTACTTCTCTTGCTCGTTTCATGAGACGATCGAAACACACAGAACAATAAAAAGCAATTTTTGACTCTGAGAAAGCGTCCCTGACAAACACTATTATCTAATTTCCCACATCCAGTCCAGTCACTGAACCTTTACCCCTTAGGGCACAGACGTCTTAGAGGTGACATTCTAATGGCTTACAGCATCCTTAAAACTTCTGAACATCCCCTTAGACACCTACTTGAGTTTAGCTCCAATACAAAACTAAGGGTTATTCCCAGAAACTGAAGACGCCACACAAAAGAACAGACTGTAGAAACAACTTCTTCTCCTTAAAATTAGTCAAATGCTGGAATTCTCTGCCAGCTGAGCTTGTCCAAGCGACCCTTTAGGGGTCTTTCAAGAGAAAACTTGACACTTACTTAAGTACCAAGGACAGTATCTTACTGTGATTTACCAATTTCATTTTCCTGTTTTATCGTTAATATACCTAGGTTCCTGCATGGAGGTAGTGGTGATACACTGCTGCTAAGTGCGGGAGCGAAAGCCTTTTCTATTCCGTTTAAAATCGTCACATATAACCGCTCGTCTCATATAGGGCAGTGATTTAGTCAATGTTATGATTAATCTTGCTTATGTGTACTTTCTGCAGCAAAAAGCATGCTTGGTCTAATTTAACTCGAAGTATTCAGATCAGGGTTTGAAATTTTGCTAAACTTTTCCTTGTAGTAGCTTCTTTCTCATTAAATCCGACATTTGAAATTTATATTGTGATAAAATTGTGTTTTAAACCTTTTTTAATCTAATAGCAATGTTCGGCAGTACTTATAAATGTGGGCAGCCAAACCGTTTATTCCCCGTGGAGGAAGGAATGTGATGTGGTGAGTGTGAAAAGTGGTTCCATGAAATGTGTACCCGTTTACATCCGAGCGCATAAAAAATATGCTCAAGGCCTAACTCTCAATGGCCTTGTGTGTTTCGCAGTGCGAATAAGACGTCACTGATCCAGGAGACTATCTGCCTATTAGCTTCGGTCTGTAAAAAAAAAGATTAAGATTGGTAACATGGGTACTGACAGTGAAGAATGTGTCAGTGTAGTACATGCTGTTACGGATATCCTTAAACACCCGACTGTTGTCAAGGAGCTATATATTTTGGAGTCATACTAAGCAGAGACCTCAAAACTAGGAGTAACTGTAAGGCTGCTGCTGTAAAAGGCTACAGTCTATTCGCAGGTCTTTTCAGTATTTGGATGAAGAAATATTTAGATTATTATACCCGACTTTCGTGAGACCTCATTTTGGATATGGGTTATTCTTGTTCAACCACCCTACTGACTACGGTGGACAGATGGACAACCATCTTTGATCGCAAAGTGAAGGCTGACGTCATTTTTCCTGGAACGGTCCCCCAGGGTTCAGTACTGAGACTTCTCTCTCTCTTGGTTCATATAAACGATCTCCCACAACAGGTATCGTCTGATTTATTGTTTTTCCAGATGATTTGAAACAGTGGAGAGAGATACGCAACCAAGACGATATACAAGCACTCTTCAGGAGGATCTGACTCGAATTCAAAGTTGAGCAGACGACAACGGACTTACCTTTAACACTTCGAAGTGTAAATTAGTCCATCTGCGACGTGTCGCAGACTACAGTTACAACTTAAGAGACTCTTCTCTAGAAGTATCGCGAGTTGAAAAAAATTTATGAGTATTTGGTACGCTACTATTTGATGTCTTACGCTAACTGTTTGAAAAATGCATTTCTAGCAAACCTCGCACTGGTAACATTGAAGCGAATTTTTGGCCAGTTTGACGGTAGAAGTTTCTAAATAATCCTCAACAATTTTGTTCGTCACAATGTAGAATACGCAAACATAGTATTTCCCTCCTCATTCCAAAAGGATAAGAACACTCTGGAGCACATCCGACGGCGAGCCATGAAATCAGTTCGAAGACTCAAACTTAAGTCCTATGGAGAAGGCCTTCACCCATCAAACATTTACTCATCATACTATAAGCGTCTTAGAATTGATCCACTGCTGCTGGATGCGGAAGCCCGTTAAGCGGTTTCTTCTATTCCGCCCACAACCAATTGAACCTTTTTTGAAGTACCGAGTCCTTGTTTCAAGTATGGAACGATGCCAACTACGAGAGACTAAGACGGTTAAAGGTCTGTCTGGCTTATCTTATGAGGACAGACTGAGACACCTCAACTTATTTCTGTTATCTTATCGTATAATACGGTGTGATCTGATGTTAGCTTATCGTATACTGGACCATGACCTTGGTATGAATATGTCTTATCTTTTCCTTCCGTCTAGGACTGATCATTTGAGAGGATATCCGAAGGAAAATCAAAAGCTTAGAACAAATCTTCTACACCTGGAGTTTCGTTGCTCTCACCGAGTAGTGAATTACTGGAACTCCTACCAGAACATGTAATATCAGCACGTTATGTTGATATATTCAAAACGACACCAAACTTCTACAGTGTTAAAAACTGCAAGGATTGGTTTAGACCCTTTTCCTCGTTACTGAAGACTAAGGAATTAGGTAGTTCGTCCAAGGTTTATGCGGGCCAATTGGAGGTGACGGTACTTGGTACTACAAGGGTTCTTCCGTCGTATCTACTTATATTCGATGGACTTTAATTTTTCGCACAGTAAGCGTTTGGAACTTACATCCACAAATTTGTTAAAAATGCTTCTACTATCGTGTAGTATTTTGAGTGTATTCTTCTATTCCGTCCACAACCATTTGAACCATTTTACAGGTTTCTTACATGATAGTTAAAATGTAAAAATTGACTGCGTTGTTGATAATAAAGACTTACGTTTGTTCATAGATAGATTGGTTTTCAACGTATCGAAAGTAAATCCGATTTTAGTTTTACTTGATATGGGGTGAATATACTTCCATACATCAACGGGTGTGTCTTGCTACTGTATTTGATAGATTTATTTATTTATTTGAACACAAATAATAATACAAATGGGCACTTGATACTGGATACATATACGCAACACATGTCAATGATGTGTGTGTGGGCTATGATACTACCCGAGTGCCCAAATCCAAGCAGGCATTTGATATGTGATACGAAGTACACAAGAAACAGTTAAGCAAATTAAGATGAAATGCGCCAAAATGTTTACTTTGTCACCTGTAGTAGGGGATCAGTATGAATTCTCTTTAATTTATTCTTGGACGAGAAACGTCTCAGAATTTGCAGCAAATAGTTTACATTCCTGCTAAACAAGTACTCGCAAGACCATCTACTGCTAGCCCTTGTTCCTTCAAGGAGACAGACTTTACTACACAGTCGATCGGACTTAGAGATATGGTATGTGTTTTAAAAGACGTATATTTACAAAAGTCGTAATCACAATCCACAAGATACAGCTCTATAAATATCACCTTTAGAAAACCATACATCTTATGAATAACTGATTAGCACATAAATATGCCTACGTTACTAGAAGGGAATGTTTCAGTGAGAAATCATTGGGGTCATAGGAAGACCTAGACCCGGCGCTTTCACCGGGCTGGTCGATATGGAGCATCCAACTGGTGGAGTTGGAAAACCTTGATTCCAGACCAGTGGTGCACATAGGCCTCAGGATCGTGAGGGAATAAATGGCGTATGGATCAATTACCGGTCACCGACCACCATAGGACTGCATCTCATGACGTCGCTCCACTGTCTTGTGGATCTGACATTTAGGTCGAAAAATTCGAGTGTGGCCCCCTAAGACAACCACCTGCTTCCGTCTGGGCACCCGGTCAGTATCACAGCCCATAAACAAATCAAGTGACCTGTGTTGAGCATATGTATACGGTGCCCCTTGTACCAATATTTATGTGTTCAAATAAATAAATAAAAACAGCGTTACACAGGGATTTTTTCTGTAACAGGCTGCAAGCTAGAGATATCATGGCTACGAAACAAACCACGGTCAACCATGATTCTAAGAAACATGTTATTATGTGCATAGCAATCAAGCTGACAGCACAGTAATAGTGCAAGGCGAGCCTGGACTGATTACTGATATAGTCAATAACAGATTAATCAAGTCTAGGTCTTCCTATGACCCCAATGATTTCTCACTGAAACATTCCCTTCTAGTAACGTAGGCATATTTATGTGCTAATCAGTTATTCATAAGATGTATGGTTTTCTAAAGGTGATATTTATAGAGCTGTATCTTGTGGATTGTGATTACGACTTTTGTAAATATACGTCTTTTAAAACACATACCATATCTCTAAGTCCGATCGACTGTGTAGTAAAGTCTGTCTCCTTGAAGGAACAAGGGCTAGCAGTAGATGGTCTTGCGAGTACTTGTTTAGCAGGAATGTAAACTATTTGCTGCAAATTCTGAGACGTTTCTCGTCCAAGAATAAATTAAAGAGAATTCATACTGATCCCCTACTACAGGTGACAAAGTAAACATTTTGGCGCATTTCATCTTAATTTGCACCAAATTTATATCAAGAATATCGCCTTAGTTTAATTTTTTCCGTTTAGTTTTGGATAGGTTTACAGGCGAAATGGGGTTTTTACAGAAGAAAAATAAAAAATGAACATTTAAATATACTATGCAATTTCGAAAGTCAATTTTGTTAGTCAGTCTCACTGTTACCAATTGATACGTTTACTGTCATATCATGATGTATGATCAAATACGAGAAACCGAAATTTGCTTAGCTGTGCTTGACATTTTATTAGCTTTCATTTTTAAATATTGACCAGGTGCTCTTCTGATCGAGTGTTGTTATTATATTTTTTACGTAACCTCTGTCGTTCTTAATCCTCAGGAGTAAGAATAAAAACCTGTTATTTTCGTAATTAACTACTAATCTCTCGGTGCTGTCGAATTTTAGTTTCCTGAAAGCATATTTTTGATCGTAAATATTGCCATCTTGAGATTTCAAACATTTTAATATATCCTCTTCAGTTCCCCTCTTGATTCACAATATAAAGAGGGTAAAAAGTTTTGAGTTTTTTTCATTCGATAATACTACGATGCCTTTCTATCACTTTAGTTTCCACCTTTTTATCCTCATATTAAACAAAGGTTCAGTATCTTAACTTCCATACTTTTAATAATTTTTAATATACGTCTATCATAACAGCGGGAATATTCTTGTCAAAACCTGAGTAAAAATAGCGAAACATTACTTTTAGATATTTCCACCTTTAAATACTCTTTGTAAAGACATTTCCATATACACTACATCTTCTTCTGCAAAGAGCCCGTTTAATCGATTACTTAAACTTATTTCAAGGCGTTTTAGCGTTTTTCTGTCTTCGTCACTAGACTCTATCAAAAGCTTCACTGAAATCTGTAAATGAAGCATCAAGAAGTTCAATCCCATCTTTTATTGGGACCCAGTTTTATCTTGAAGTGAAGCGCGTCACTCTGTTCCATGATAAAAAGCAGTTGGTTTCACGTGACACAAGACAATATCGCCGATTGTATTTCTTATCACTTCGATAACTATACTGATCTGACCGAATAGATATTTATTCTTCTGTTATCTATACTCGGTTTTATAATCTTGCTCTGTAAAGCCATTTAGTATTGATTCGAACCATGTGAATTTACGAATCTCTCTCATTTACTATCATAAACTGTTGCATCTATCAGAAGGGATTATATTTTCACCTTTATAATGTTTACTTTCAATACACAATACGAAAATACTGACGTTGTGGTGAACGAGATGTGTGAGTGCGGTTATTGAGCATCTAAAATTTTACGTTAACAATATTTCCCAATATTATCAACCCAGCCCATGACTGTCGATTGGGAAGAATATGTCTTATGCATAACACCACTCTATATACAGATTGCATTTCTCATCAGTAATAATGACATCTAAATAACTTTAACTTCAGATGAATTTTATACTGAATGCATGTGAAAAGTAAATGAAATAATCTCCCAAATATAACAGAATATCATACTAAAATAATCAATAACAGATTTTACCGAAACCTAGTTAATATTAACTGAGCGATTCTCATATTGAACTAATCATCATCTTTACTCTTGATCCCCTCTTATCGTAAACAACCGAGGATCTGGTTAAATTTGCCGTCGCCTCGCAATATAATAACAGCAAGAAGAAATCAAGATTCATAGCAGAGACGTGGATGTAATAGTAGTGTATATGGTTTTAATGAAGCTAACTTAAAAATGTGATTCAGAAATGGAGAATGAGAAGTATAAGTGTTGAATCGCAAGACAAATTTTTGGCCTTTCCACCGAACGTCTTCAATTACTGGTCACGATATTCGTGAGGACACCAACACAACAACCTGTTTAGACCAATGGTCATTGACTTTATAGACTAACGACGCTCCTTGGTTTGACCATAGGTAGCTTTCTCTTAACCTACTCTTACATCAGCCATCATTGGTCATCATGGTAGGCGGTGAACGGGCATATTATGCAATAGGAGTCTCAAATACTTCGCCCGATGAATATTCACTACCCATCTTTAACTAGTATTCTGCATCTCTTCTCAGCATTGCTCATCTGGTGTTCCTAACTTACTCAACGAATGCTTCAAAGGTACCTATAATCAGATACTGCGTACCTACGGATATCCTCTGTTTAAAGACCATGTTTTGCAACCATAAAATGGGACAGAATGAACTACAACTAGCTATGCTCGTCCTTTGGTTGACAGAGAGACGTGTTGCCCACACCACGGGTGACGTAAGTTAGCAAAATCCAACCGAACTTTCCGAATCTTTGCCGTGATTTCATCAGACAATGACCTTTGAGGTGGAACCGTCAGGATAAGTGAAGTGGTGGACCTATCCAGGTACTTCACTCCCCATCATTATTTCAGGGGTTAACACAAATAAGTCCTAATTCAACATTATGTGTCTTGAAGGAGATAAGTACATCCCAAACATGTTTTCATTATTGCTTAATATATTCAAAAGACTGCCTTTTGTCCGAGTCTTTACTAGACAGAAATATGTCATCCATGTACTTTAAGTTAACGAGTGAGTTTTCTGGCAAGGGGTCAATTCTTGGAAAGCTAGTTGATAAGACAATGAATCTGTCAGTCTTCTGTTTTTAAATCCATTCTCTTGCAGATGGTCACCCTAGTTTGCTCCATATCATTCTGATTGGATGGGTCTACTTTTTTACTTTCAAACTATTATAATACATGTAAAACGGAAACCTGACGTAATATTATTCACTTTTCTTGATGTATTTGTCACCAGCTCTTTATCACTTTTATAACTGTAAAGGTTTCTCTTTCTTTTCTGGTAATCGATTCTGAAAATGAAGATCTGTGTGACTTTAAGAACTTTTTTTTAAATTTTTAGCTTCAGCATATTTGGTGAGTGCAGAATACTGAATGAAATGAGTTTAGGAAGAAGTTCTCGAGAAGTTGTATACATTAAAGCCAAAGTAAGATCAACACTTTTTCATAGCTCAAATCTTTTAGCTTAGCACAGAAACTGGTACTGACCAATATAAGAAATTCGCAATTGATCCAAATATTACAGATTACAAAGTTCTTTTGGGTTTGCTGCGTAAATGCTTTGATATTAACTGGTAAACTATTCGTCTATTAGCAGACTTTTAAAAAATGGTTATTTAGTGGTATCTTATAATGTGAAAGATCTAATGAATAAACAAAGCAGATGATCAAAATTTTTGCCATAATCTTCCCGTTTTGTGATTGTGTTGTATCTAGCATCGACAGAATTAAGTCGATTTGGGGAGTAAATAAGTTTGTATCTAGAAGGAGGATTAATAACAAGAAAGACTTCATATGGTGTAGATACATATCGGCTGAATTAATATTTATCGCACACGTTTGGTCATGATTTCTAGGCGTCGTATTGACATAATTTTATTTGGAGTTGAACAGTCATCAGACTAAAAAATGACATATCCATAGTTTTTACCACAGGCCATATTAAATAATTGCTAGGTAGAGTGCACAAAATAACGGCAATTAGTGGTAATAGACATTCACCCACAAGTCCTTTCATATTTGTATTCAATGCCCAAAAATCTTATCTCTGCTAGTATATGCTCATTTTATTTACAATATTTGAAATGTACTTCGAACATTTGTGTGGTTGATTCTAATGTCCTCTCGACTGAAAATACTCTATTGGCCTGTCAAAATGGTGTACAATATGGTGGTTTTGAAAGGAACTATTTCTTAAATAAGGTATGAAACAAGTTCACAATTGTATTGAAAATATTAGATAGCAAACATAAATATCGATGCTGAAGTTATTTTTTTATGTAAATAACTAAGCATTTTTAAGATAGTAGAAAATTAAATGCTAAATTGTCCTTCAGTACTTACGGTATTCACGCTGTACTTTTCGGCGCAACAACTAGAAATACTTTCCAACTTTACATTTCATATTGCTATACTACTGTGAAAAGCTTTTCGAAGGAAATTTGTCTTAGAAGCGAGTCTTCATCATTTAACTCAGTTTCATTATCTCTATTTGTGAAACCACGACAGTCATGATATGACTTCCTCATTTGATATGGGTTAGTTTATAAATGACGAGATCTATCATTACCCTATGCATCCTGATTCTTTAAAGTCAAGTGACTTAATATTTTTACTTCTACTTGTTAAACACAATATGCATCTTTTAAAGGAATCCTTACATTACATCTGGTGAATATTCCTAATTATTCATATCTGTTGAAGTGATTCACACACTTAACAAAGTACATAAAAGAAACTATTATTTGTTGGTTTAATTTTAGTGATTTCTCGGTGTGTTACTTGGCTATTGATGAATTCGGTGAACAGTTTTATTTACCTTTACAATCCGACTGGGATCTGGATGCGTCGATAGTCACGTCATCTGATTCCACTTTACGACTTAAAATAACCCTAAAGCCTAAAGTTTCTGGTATGTTTTTTAAATGTTTTGTTTTTTCAATGGCTTTGCTTAGTGAATGATTTGAATACAGTAAAGTAGGATAATATAAAGCTTTTGGGAAAAGTTTCTTAGTGATTTGACCACTTGAATTCTGACATTTGTCACGTAAAGAGATATCTTCTCGTACTAAGAATGATCTCACACTTATTGTGTAGATTCTACATCTCATCCTATCTACACAACAGTAGGTAGAACAGATTTTGAATCTTCCTTCAGTTGGCTAAAATATCTTCACAAACTCTGTGATCTACAGTCCCATTTGGATTATAGAAACCGAAGGCAAGTGCATTCCTATCAAGTACATTGTATTATTCACTCCAGGTCTATACTGTATCTATTGTTTTCTAAATGCTTTGCTCATAACAGTTTTTTTGAAAAAAATTACTATAAAAATTTGGTTATAATTTATTTTAAGTTAGAGTCGAACGGATTAACTCATATTATACATTAATTGTCATTTCAACCATTCTTTTGATCAATACTCTTACTTACAATCCGATCCCACTGTTAATTTGTCGTTTCTAATCCAGATTTTCAGTAAAATTACTATCTTTCATTTTATAGTTCTGACTTCTTTCAGAACTGTTAACATGGTACATATAGTTTCAAGTGGAACTTGAAGTTTCCATTTTCAACTTTCCCAATAATATTTCTATTCTCATCATGTTCAATATTTAAATACTGTTCAGTGTTAAAAATCTATTTTGTTCGAATTACCGGTATTTATAATTAAAGATCTCTGGTAGGAGCTAATTAATTTACGGACTATGAATTATTTAGGTCGAAAATGAAAATAAGTGTTCTTCTTCACATTTGAGAGGTTAATCACGTGTTGTACTTTTGAATAGTTCACTTCATTCTATACATCATCTCCCTCTATTCCAAATTAGATCTTCAAGACTGGGATATTATTATTCCAAGTGGTGTTCAGTCTATCTCCAGAAGAAGAAGGTCACAAAATGATACAAAAAGTGATCTAACATTCAGTGATTCTAAAGGACCATCACTTTTTTCACAAATTACTCAACGACTTGAAAAAACTGTTGCAAATATGCGCAAGGCTATAGGTAAGACTTTATTTACCCGTTTATACAGTTCTTTTATCAGGTAAAAAATAAGCTTAACTATATGATACAAAATTTTTGTAGCCTAAAGTTTCAATGTTCAGTACTTGTTGTAACTTAAATTGATGAGGATGTGTTACTAGCAAAGGAAAGTCTCCCATAAGAACGTGTTAGGTAGTAACTCAAGCTGAAGATAAACGTAGTCTTGATTTAAACTTGTTTTATTTCAGTACGTTGTTGTAAGCCAAGTTTTAAATCAATACATGATAACTTAGAAAAAGTCGTACTAAAAAGTGATGTAGTTCAAAAAATTGCCAGCAATCAAGGGGCTCTGTACTTTTGCTTCATTTATGATGTACATTGTAATTTGAGACATTAATCTCGATCAAATTTTCCGTTTGTCCCGATAAAATAGCATAGTTATTCCCAAATAGCGTCTTTCAAACAGAATCGTGATTCAGTGGGTTATTCATTCGACTTCCCATCAATGAATTATGGCTTTAAATTTCGATCCCACTTGTAGTAATGTAGGTAATCGGATGGTATCGTTGACCTCACAAATTAATTGTACATTAGAGCCTTATATGTAAATTAACAGCTTTACTTTTCTACACTGTTATTACTGTTTCAGGAATTGGAATGGATGGTGATGATATGTTTCACACCATCCATCCTCCGATATCAGAATTACAAATGAGATTATACATGGATGATAATGGACGCATTATATATCTAAATCAATTCTAGTAAGTACTGCATATTTCATCCAGTTTTGATGTATTGTTAGTTTCTTAAACTGAATTGGGTTTAAATACAGCAGTTTTATATTTTCCTAAGAATAAGCCTTAGTTTAACAAATGTTAGTGGACACTTTTCAATAACTTGTTCAAAAGATTAGTAAAAACCCTTCCAACATGTTACGGAACCAATTATCCCTACATTTCAGGGAAAAAGTGTAATTTATTTATGTGTTATTTCTTGAGTGTTATACGATATAATTCTGCAAAACTAATTTCACTATAATATAAATTGTTTACTGAATAAGGAATTATTTACTTCATTCTAATCCACGCGATTTATGTCCAAGTGATGTGCTTGATTGCTAATACGAGTTCACTTTACTCGGTAACCGGAACGAAGGTCAAAGATACAGTGACACGATAGGCTATTCTAATCCATTGTCCTCGGCCCTGCTAACTAAATCAAGAGGTCTTGATGAGGCGTAGAGAATGTATTCTACAAGCACCCAGAAAATACGAGGTTACTAAGCACACAAATCAAGCTTATTTATACAATGATAGAAACGCCCTTGGGAGAGCCACAAAATAGCGTACTAAAAAATTCCGTCAACCAATGACAGTTAAGGATTTCCGAGTGGGAATTGTAAGCTGTAGGTCACCTAAGCGTCTCTTGGCGTGAAAACATAAATTTCAAATTTTCAGAATAAAATTACAAAATTAGGACCTTTTTCAAGTGAGTTCTGGGGACCTAACGTCTTCAACACTAAAGTATAGCGGCTAGGTTTCCCAAACTGAATTAGGTGGAGCAGAGTTCAAACTGGCAACTTACTTGTTGGAAGTCAGATTGCTTTAACTCATTTCAGCATAGAGTGTTAACAATCTTAATTTCAATCAAAAAACTTTGTCAGTGAAGCACCTAACTGATTTTTAACGATCGTATTAAATAATAGAGACTATATTGTTTCACTTAAGATTTAATGTCCTGTACAAAAATTTGACAACTCATTTCTACACTTTGTTGTAATTTTTAAATTCAGCTTCTCCGGTTGCTAGGGTTGATTTACTCTTCAAAATAAATAAAACTCAACATTTATATCGTTGAGGTGTTTTATAGATATGTGGCTCAATATTCTGTTTCTAGCTTCTGATTCGCAAGTTCAAAGCCTATGTTTATTTTGACTTTTAGGTTGTATTTTTAAGGTTGCTTTACTCAACCTTCTTAGCGTTTCTGGACATCATTAGCACAAAATTGAAAAAAAAGACGGTCTCATAGAGATTTCTGGAATGTAGTTACTAGTCCACTCTGTTGATTTGATATATAACTGGGTGTTATTTTCATCTCTAATCGTGTGGTTATTGCTATTCTACACATGTTTTAAAGAGCTTTACCTTGACTTTCTTATTTTTTATTAACTTTCTTATTAACTACTACCGCGATAATACTCGTGATTCTACAGCTCAATTGAATAGTTCAAAATGTTCTGACCAGAAAAATCAATACTCTACCTTTTGTTGCATTGTATTTCTGTGATACCTTGCATCAACTCTTTAATTATGATTGTTGGTCCTGTCCAATAAAATAAAATAGTTAAGTACAGAGTTTATAAAACGCCTACACATTCTCCGATTATAGTATGCTAAATAAATTATTTTTTTGTCAGCCTAGATGTTTATCTAAATGGTCTAGAGCACAGTTTACGTAAAGTTGGTTGGCGTATATTATTATCAGTTTGTCCAGCGGATACAACCGGTCAAGAACGTTTTCATTTACTGGATATCAAAGCTCAACAGTATGCTACTCTTAAGGAAAATTGGAAAAAGTTATACGTAATGGGTTTGATGTCTGAACATCAACTATCTACATTAGCTTCAATAAGCATAGATGTTGTTCGTACAGATTGGAGTAAGCTTTTTTCCCGTAAATATTTTTCCAGGATTCCTAGTTGGTGATTAAATTTCTTTATTCAACTTTTAACTTGTCGTTACAGTAGTTTTATTCCAGAAATTATTAAGAGAACTTATTTCTACCAGTTGACGAGTGTGATTATCTCGCTAAGAACTGTTTGCTGTTTCCGTAGACATTCTGATATTATCTGAAGATTTTCATTATAATTTATTCTATATGAGTAAATTTAGTTTAATTAAGTTTTAAAAAAAGAATGCGGAAAGATATGACAAATTAAAATTAAACCTTCCTAAAATTGTAGCAAGCCGAAATAATTTGTACTACTGAAAAGAATCTGTAATTGTATTTAGCTAAAGTAGTAGTTATTTTTTTGAAAAATAAATTTCCGTATTTTTTGTCTTATATTACAAATTTGTAATTTCATGAGTTCTTTCTAATATATTCAATACTTACTTCGGCTTAACTGAAGATTGACACATTCGCAAAAAATTCCTGAATTTTCTCACTGGTGAAGAATTATAAATTTAGTGAGCAATCTAACTTCATTACCTACAATTTTGAACCTATTTGCTGCTAATACTATTATATAATGATTCTGAGGCGTGTGGCTATTGTTCTAAAGTATACAGGTGTTAATGACAAAATTACGTATATTAGGTTTTAAAATTGCTGTGTATCAGACTCCCTGCTCAGTATACCTATGATTGACCAGTCAGTAGTGATTATTTTACTTCCTTTCTTTTTGCATGCAGCTCATGAAGTGTAAAGTTGGAAGTGAGGTATATACCCCTAAATGAATTATCATGCTAAAGATTGAGAGTTATTATCTTTAAAAATGGGGATTTTATCAATTTTTTTTAATTTTGAAGTTAATTTTTATTACTGGAGAGCTAGTGCATCTTAACCTGGGACTTATCAGTTCGCATTGAGACACATACAATCCCACAAAGTACAGGATCCTGGGCTTTCAAATAAAATTAGTTCTAATTATTTTCTAAATATTACATTGTACACACGGATTAAGCATCCATTACTTCATGAATGGTTAGTGCATCTTACATTTAGTTCAAGAATAGTCCAGTTCAGTGATAAATAAATACTTGAAGGAAGTTTGTAGTTAGTTATTTAGTTATCCTGTCTTATCCTCTCAACCTCCATCTCTTACCTACTCTTGTGTCAAATCGCTGTGTAAGCTTAAAGTATGTTATGACTACGATAAACGTTTATAGAGTGCTAGATGGTTGAAGGCAATCTGTAAGAAGCTCTAAACTTAGGTTTGAAACTAGTTGGTAGTCGTTTGGAATTTTTTATCTACACTCTTGAGAGGTCTGATGCTGTTCATAGAACTCGAGTTCACATAACTGATTGTCGTAGTCAGTGGGCTATTTGAATGTTGACTCACGAAGTACTGGACTTTCAGCAATAATTAATCAGATAGTAACAGCTGATTTCTGACAAGTGTTATCCAACAACAGACTGTGATCACTGGACTACTTCTAGTCATCTGACATTAATTAACTCTTAGTGTGCTGTCGCGTCACCCAAACGAACAAATATACCACAGTTTAATTGACTGAGTTCAACCATTACTGAGGGTTATAAAATGTGATATTTGGCTATTAACAAGCATTCAGTTAATGTTTTCTGAGAGTAATTCACGTGTGACCATCCGTTAAATCTTATAAATATTACCTAAATGATTGTCACGAAATGTTTAATTGTCTTCATCATTTGTTGTTTTTGTTATCTTCCTACGTTTCTTGATCGGTACTTTCTCTCATTCTGCACCTATTGTAGAAGAAGACTATTATCGTTCTGTTGGCAACCATCACCGAGTGTGTCAATTGTTTGATATTCTAGCTACTTATTGTATACATCACCCAAATATTGGATATTGTCAAGGTTAGTTGATCAGCTACTTCTTTTTAATTTACATATTATTAACATTCACTAGTAGAAATATCAGTATTATTATCGCTATCGACTGAATACGTTTATTGGGAATCATAGGTTACCGGATATTTGTTTGGTTTTTTGTGGGACGCCCCGAATGTATATACTCATAAAATGCGAATGAACATCCACTGGGTTAAATGTTCAAATACTGCCTTATCTACTTTGATTCTAGCTACTGAATAGTTTATCTGTCAGTTTCACAAAATAGTCACAAGATCGTGTACGTTGTGCGCTTGGTCACAATATGCACAACTTCCTGTTAAATAACCAGCAGTAGTCAGCCCACACAACTGTTAATTATCCTGTTTGATAATACTTTTATTATCTCCTAGTTGATAATTACCCCGATAGCTTCGATATATAATTTTGGGAATACTTATTAAAACCATCCAGATATCTCAAAACTTGACAAATTTTGACTAGTTTTACTTTATCTAAATTGAAATTATTCAAGTATTATATAAAGATATGAAACCTAACAAATTTGCGTGACGTAGTGATATGCAGAGCCAATCAAAAGTAGTATCTATGCACTTTATTCGGTAGTCCAGTACACTTTCTCGCTCACTTGTGTTTTCGCTTAAGTAGTCTTTTTTTAGGAAAAAATTATTGTATTCTACTACTATCTACTTGTTTTTGAGTACCCTTGTAAATGAAACTGATCACTGAACGATATTAGTCTGTGTTTATTTATTTATAATGACTAGCTACATATGTTATTGCTGGAAAAATTCCCCCTTTAAATCAATGTAGGTTTTTCCTCGTTAGCTGTTAATCAAAAATGTTTTCTTATTTTTGTAGGTATGTCAGATTTGGCCAGCCCATTATTAGTTGTTCAAAGTGATGAAGCATTGGCATATCTCTCGTTTTGCGCTTTAATGCAACGTGTTAAATTCAAATTTGGTGATACGCAGCAATCTATATTAATTAACAATATGCAAGATTTACATGACCTTCTAACGTATACAGATGGTGAATTAGCACAATTTTTCCGTGAACATAATTTAGCCAACATGTATTTTACTCAACGTTGGTTTGTCTTAGAATTAAAACGTGAATTTAACTTTGATGAATCTTTACGTATGTTTGAATCACAATGGGCTGCTTTATGTCTTGTAAAAAATAATAGTTTAACTGAAATTGAAACCTGCAATTCTAAATCTGAAGGTTATCTTGTTTTAACTGATGGTACATGTAATTTGTACATGCCGAATTCTTCATTCACGTCAACAAATTCTCTTAACTGGTATCATTACACAGCAAGAGATGTTAGTCTAATCAATTCTTTAATAGGTTCAAATTATGTTGTTGACTTGAAAAAAAAAGGATGCACTACTGTGTTTGACCCAGACATGGTTGGACAAGACCATCCATCTTCTGTTTCTTCCCCTCCTCAATTTATCCCTTCTGATGCCCACTTCTCATGTAAATTATCTAATGAAGATCATTCTGAAAATCCACAACAAACCTCATCTAAGACGTTAATTACAGAAACTCAATTTGAAATTATCTCTAATGAATCACTATTGGATTTTACAAACTCTATAAAAAAACAATCTTTACATTTGACACCAACTAAACGACTATCTTCATTTTCTATTGAAAATGAACCTATTCATATTAAAACCAATGTAACACATTTACGACCACCGAATCAATTCGGTCAAGGTAATCCATTTCTCCTGTTTCTCAGTTTATCATTAATCTTAGAATATAAAGAGGTAATTATGCTAGAAATTAAAGAACCTGGGGATATTATACAATTCTATCAACAACAATCTGGCAAACATAATTCTTCTAGAATATTATATCGTGCGAAAAAGTTATTTAATAAATACTTAGAAGAAAATAATTTCCAATTTTTTAGTTAAACTTTATATACTAATAACTGTACAGTCGTAGAAAAAAGATCCAGCTAATACAGACTCACTCAACCATACATGACATTACTGTATCCTCATTTTGTACCATTATTTTGTTTTCTCTTAATTATTTGTTTATTTTTAATATTAACTTTATTGTTATTATTACTACTTTTGTTAATTAACCAACATTACTTCGAAACAGATCTTACAGTACAACAACAACCTATTTTCACTGTGATAATCAACATATCTATTTCTCTTTCAGATTTTGAAATAAAAATATTTTCGTATGTTCGTTGTGTATTATCTTGCTTTCCGTATTGAAAACTGGTGTTAACAAAAATGTGTATTTAAATGATGATGATGATGATAATGAAATTTCAAAATACTGATAATATTGCAAAAAGATTTTTGAGGAAATATTTCTATGCAGAAAATCAAAACTTCAGTTGGCCATTTAGCGGTTGGAATATATTTCAAGGAATGTAGCTATGATCGTGCAATTGTGTGTATCAGTGTTACTTGTCCTAGTGTAACCCGTTTGTAAAAAATAACACCTGTTTGTTGGTTATGTCACATCAATACCCGATCTAGTTTACCAAAGTCGAGTGTTTATTAATTACTTCATAATATAATTTAAATCATGAACCAATCAATGTTAGACCACCATTGAAAACCTGGAAGTACTGGATGGCCGTTTCGTCCTAGTAAGGGACTCCTCAGCAGGAAGGTGGTCGTGCAATATCGTGGGTTTGTTGACGTTAAACATTAACACCGCTGGATGTCGACTTGGTGGACCAGAAGCTAAGCGTTCGTGCGTGGGACTGGAGATCCTGGGTTCGAGTCCCGATTGCGTGATCGTGGATACACATTTTCGACGTATCCCACACTAGGACGAGACGGTTGTCCAGTGGTGGCAAAATTCAACAATGTCCACAACCCCATACTTCATAAGTGCCATATAAGTTGTTCACTGATTATGGTAATTAACTAACCGTATCGAAATCCACAAAAAGTAAATAAATATACAGGGAGATTGTTCAACTCAAATGTACATTAGACAAGTTGAATCTCCTACAAAAAAATATATACAGCTAAAAACTGATGGGAGATAAATTTAATAGATAAGTGGATCAGTCATTTTGGCGTATATATACATAGTAAATATGAAAAGATAAGTATGCGTAAATCAGAGAATAAGTTTAACACTGGGCCGTCAGAATGTAGCGTTTAAAACGGGAGAATTTGTATTCCTAAAGCTGTATGCTTTATCAAAATGCACAGAATAAGATAGATTTACCCAGTTCATCAAAACACTAACACACTACGTGTTATCATTGGAAGAGTAATTCAGCACATCAGTACTCACATATAACTCCTCATGTAATTCGGTTCCGGACCACAATGCAATAAAGATACAATCACTAGAACTTTCCCACTCTCATTTCAATACTTCAAGTATTACAACAGCGTACGGTTTAACCAGATACTAAGCCGAAGCAAGTATTGGCACCACATATTTTTCTACTTATCTCTAAATAAGTTAGATGGTGCTTGACTAAGTAACCTAACAGTTAAAAGTCGCTGCCTCCAGTGAGGTTTCCATGACCGAAGGAATTTAAGGACGGACATGTGCCGGGATTCCTGAAGGAGTTTGAGGCTGTTGCGTAGCTGATGGGATTAAAGGAGCTGAAATAAGAGTGGCAACGGACGTTTCAACGAAGAAACCAAACGTTGACGAGCTGTGAACAAAGTATACGAAACTGTTCACTGGAGACGGAGAGCCGTACGAATTTGGTGACAAAGTAAAGCACGAAATCCCGATAAAGAACGATCGAGTAAATATATTTGCAACGTCGTGTCCCTGTGCATTTAGAGGCTGAAGTAAATCCATATGTTGAAAGGTATAGTTAAGGAAGCGCACAGCCCATATAGCTCGCCGGTACTCTTAGTAAAGAGACCGAATGGAAAGTTTAGATTTTGTGTCGATTTTAGAGAACTGAAACCTTGTGCATTGCCAACAGTGGTGGGAACATAAGATCAGCTACAAAATGCCTTTAAAAGAGAGCGATTGAAACAAGGCCGCATTTACAGTACGTGATAAACAGAATCAATTTAAAAGAATGCTGTCTGGGTTGGCGGGTGCACCGTTTACATTCAGAAGGTTAATGACGCTACTGCTCAGGGGTCCAGAAAACATCGAGGTATATGGGGACTATATAGTTGTTTACAGCCGGACAGAAACAGATCACGTCAAGCATGTGGAAGCAGTCTTAAAACGAATTTGGACTTCGAATTAATAAGGACAAGTTGCAGATAGAGAAAAGTAGCGTCACTTAGTTGGGACATAAAGTGAGAAATGGGGAAATAAAACCACTGCAAGTGATTATGGTATAGGTGCCGTTTTGATTCAGTCTGATAGAGTGGTGGAATACGCGAGTTGCGTTCTCATACCCACTCAACAGAAGTATTTAACCATCGAAAAGTAGTGTTCAGCAATCGTGCAGGCAGCAGACAAATGGAGACCGTACCTTTTAGGTAAACGACAACTTTAAGAAAAGGAGGGAGGCAATAAGGAACGCGGAAAAAAACAAATATCAGGCATAAAGGAGGGACAGCGGGGGAGGATAGGGAAGCCTTTTGCAGTAGGAGACCTAGTAAAATGTAGAGAACGGAAAAGTAACATAGCAGGGGGGGTCAGGATCAAAAAAGCTGATCCCGAAGTGGAAAGGACCATATATTGTCACGGAGAGACGTGGCTCCGTTTACATATTTAAATAAGTGTTCAGTCCACTACAACTACGAAATCAACTGTACAAAGTAAGAATGTCACTGTGAGGTTACCACTTGATAGGAAATATAAAATAAAACCGTTCTTGATACAATACATTTCGGTGTGTAACCTTTTCTGAAGTTTATGTCCATAGTACCCACCATTTTAAAAACTACGGTTCTCATAACTGACATTTTACCATAAACCACTTATTGATCTGAAGTTTACTAGGATATTTTTGTTGGGATTTCGAGTAATTTAAAATTATTACAGACTGGTATCACCTAAAAGAAAGCTAAAAATCAATAGACAGGTATTTTGTCCTGGTCTACGACTTCTATACGGGATAGTATCAAATAACTACAGATCTCGCGCCAAGTATAATACCACTGAATTACTAGTCCAAAATTTTAATCGTTTATTTAACTGCGTAGATTAAAATCAAATACAATCCAGTACTCTGCAAGTATCTTGATTAAGCACCATTAAAACATTACGAATTAGATCTTGTTTGTGTAATCCTCTAGAAACAAACTAAGTACTGTAAAACACAATTTTGCACTGTTATCAGTTCTCAAAGACAAAGTTGACTAGTCATTTCACTCAAAAGAAATATTGAATAAGAGACTACAACTAATATTTCTTTATTTCAAATTATTATTCTTTTTTTAGAAAAGTCACACTCAAAAATTCTTCATCTGTGCAATAAGCGATTAATGAAAAGTATAAATTATCTGACTAGAACGATTAGAGATTGATAAAAAAGGACGGTAGGGAGATTCAGTGAAAAAAAAATGACCGTAAACTTCTTCGATCAGTAGATGGTGATGATGAAGAGAACTGTTGTCGGTGCTGTTTCAGCAGATTGACTACTTTATGTAAACAAATCGTATCTGTAAGCATTGATATAAATTCATTAATTAATTTATCTTTATGGGATTTCAAACCTTCATAAACCAGAGCTAAAAATACACGACATTCTAATTTTTTAATATAATATGTATGATTCAATTTCTCGTCATATACATAACGAGGTTGCTTTAAAACTTCACTAACATCAATTTTATCATCACCACTAAGATGAAGAGTACTGTTGATTTGCATAACAATTGTGTAAATATCAACCGGAGACAATGAGCTACCCTGTAAAGAATAAAGAAAAAATTAAATTAGTTGTATCATCGTTGCAATTTTTTGTATTGTTATCGTCGTTATTCGCTAAATAGCCAACTAAGTAATAGATAAAAGTTCGAACATCATAAGTCAACAATATTTCTACCTTTAAACATTCTAACTTATTTGCTCATGACCTTGAGCATTAAGCACGTTCATAGACTGTGTGTGTTTATTCCTGTCAGCATTTTGAATAACCAATATTTAACGGCCAGATTTAAAATATTGGTTTATTCGTTATGTTAATTAGTAGGTAATAACAGAACTTAATAGGATATTCTACCAAGTACGGGAGTGATGCATTTAGGAAACATTGGTTTAATGAAGTATAGTAAATAATTTCCGTTATACGTTCTAAAAGAAGATTTGAAATACTAATTAAATGAGAAGATGGAATTAAAAGAAAACGGGTTCGAATAAATAAACTAATAGCTGAGGCTCAAATGCTTAAATCGCAGAACTAGAAGAATACCTTATTGATGTTTATTTGTGGGATGGATACAATTCATTATAACTACGAAATCAGGTGTCTTTTAATAAACTACAAGGTGACTGGCGTTCTGAAATATCAACGATTTGACCCTAACTTTAATTCAACTGCGTGAAGTATGCATATGAGGTTGTTCGACCCTTATTAATATTTTAAATTGTTAACTGGAAGCCATTTACAAGATATAATCTAAATGAATCACAAATTCTTTTTCATTAATATGATTCAAATATATGAAAACAATATCTATAACGAGTAATGCTTTTGCGGTAGTACATGATGTATACACTTCTAGTCTACACTAAAGGCATAGAATCTACATCGAATTCTTTAGACTCCATATTTTTTGGTTATACTCAATGGTAACAGGATAGAGACAAACACAACACTGACGTTTAGAACTAATTGAAAACTATTAATCAATTGGTAAATTTGACCAACAATACTGGTTTATCTTGTAATTTCTAGTAGGGTTTTACACCGTACACTATAGTCATTTTAAAGTAGCGACAATAACTGCATTTCAAATCGAAATTCAGCACATGACGAGCCTATTAATTGTATTAGATGTTTCCCAGGCCAGAAACAAAATTCAATAACAAATCTATATATGTTATAATCAGAAAAAAGTTATGTAAATGATAAAATTAAACAAATACAACAGATATTTTCCGCGTACCAACGGAGCATTAAAAATTGGTGGAATACTTTCAATTCCTTTTGGTGCATCACCAAAAGAACCTCTCAAAACATAACCATGTCCAAGGAATGGAAATGACTGACAAGTTGTATCGAATAATAATGAGATATTTAGTGCATTAGATTCTCGTTGAAATCTTGTAATACTATAGAGAAAAAGAAAGTATGATTTGATCCATAGAATACAGAACAAGTGTACGATAATTTGTACTGAATAGTGAAAAGTGAATTAATTTAGCTACATTTGTAGCACAACTTTAATTAAATTACAAGTTATACATCTGTTAAGTGTAAAAAGTTAGTATAGTTATGAGATAATAATAATATTAGTTTTTAGGCCACCTACAAACTCCTTATTTAGTGTATTAACACTTAAGATAAATAAACAAGTAACTGTTCAGAGAAAATTCAACATGACAACAAAACCATTTAGTTTTGACAATCCGCAACATTATTTAACACTCCTTCGATTTGACCATATGGATACAAAAGCAGTGAATTCATTAGCTTACGGTAGTTTTAATTATCTATCAATGTAAATCAGGACCTGTTAGTCAATAGAATAATACAGTACTTTTTGAAAAGTATAAGAGGAGAGTTCACTGAAATGTGTGACATGGTCTCGGAAAGAGGAACAGCAAATCAACTAGGTAATGCATATCTCTCTGTGTCAGTAACATACCAAGCTTGTATTTAAATATATGAACATACCAAGTGAGAAGGATATTAGTTGATAAGGTCATAATTATCCAATGACTAAGATGAGTGACAAATATGCTGTCTATTTTTGTACAATTTCTAGGTTCACATACCATGTTGACGGAACGATTTCACCAGGTGGTCGAATGGATGAATTGTATTAACACATGCAAGGCTGGAAGGTTTAAAAGTGTATCATCTTCATTCACTTTTCGAACGGTAAAACAATAAACACAAGTATAAAACACCAGTTGTACGAAACAAATTACAACTAACTAAATACACCTTACTTAGCAACCAGATTAAGATTTTCTGAGTTTGCCGTTTCTTCAGTTTCGTGAACATTGGATGCAGAACGAACCAAGATTTCAAACCAGTATAAAGTATATTTACTAAGCAAATGAGCGTAAAAGCATTCAAGCCATGCTACAAGTGGTAACTGTTTACACGGTGAAGTACTACCCTGGACAACAAGAAAAAAACTAGTTTTCGTCAACAGTAAATATTTTTTAAAGTTAAAAGTGATAAGTCATCAATGGACGCAATGATCGATGTTTGTGTAATACAGAGAGTAGATCGAAGTTAAACATGTACACCACTGAATGCCAATTCTATAGTCTAGAGATTAGGTGTTCGCTAGAAGACCATGTCTGACTCCTTGTACGGTTGTGAATGAGCATTGTTGAGAAGTCCCAGATTAGGAGGGAACAGCTGTCCAGTGCTTCTTAGTTCTTAGTAACTATTTAACTGCGATCAGTCAGTGATGAAAACTATGGGAATAATAATAATATAATGAACTACAGTCGAGATGAGACTAGGAATGAGAAACATTACGTCAAACCAAGTAGATAAGCCATTAACTTGGACGAAATGAAAACAACAGTCTAGAGTTACACAACAACTTTTAACATACGATGCAGGTTTACAATTGTGGATATGAATTTTACTAAAAGGATGCGAAAATCTTAGACATAAATATACAAATAATGTTCAGTATACTAAAAAACTGTATAAAGGCAGTGATAAAAGCCAATAAAACGGCGAGCCGGAATGCGTGAAGACAAAGATAATGCAATTACAGGTAATCACATTACAAACCATCACCACAGATTGCAAACTTCTTGCGGAAAAGTGCCAGTAGACTATTTGTTTATGATTTCATCCTGACACTATCTAAGAGATGATGAAAGCATAATGATCAAAGCAAATAACTGTGAAAAAACATAACTCAAATGATCCTACAGAATTGCCATCCAGGCATTTTGAATCTAGGTCTTGTTAGGTAAAGGCAAAACTTAAAATATGGCCAGTTAAAATCAATTAGTCGTTGGGTTAACTATGTGGAAATTTGACCTCAAAAACGTCATACCTCAGTGAATTTATTCGAAAAGTAACATTACGTTTACTATTTAACCATTCACTTGACAGCATATAATACATACACTAACTGCATCCTTATGGAATATGTATGGATCATTGTGTATTAAAAGAATAGACTGGAAGTACGTGCTTCCAGTGGTTCGGTAGTGAACTGCATTATTTATTCGAGACGAAACAATCCGTCCTACTGTATCATTACCTATATAGTTCAATGTTTAGTAAAGAAGCACTAAAAACAACAACGAATAAGGAGCCTTTTCCTGAAGCCAAAATAAAAATGAGGGAGATTATAGAAGCTTTAGCAATATATAAACTGGATGAACCAAAACTGACACGTTCTTGTACTAACTCGAGATTTCGCAACTCGTTACAATGCAGTGAATAAGACTAACTTTATCCTCTTCTTCCCTGACCCATTAACTAGAGTTAGGAGTTCAGTTTCATAATGGAAGCATTGTTGATTATGATCGTAGTAGAATTAAAATTACAACTGTTAATCAGTTACAATGAGTAGAATTTATGAACTAAGTTATCTCTAAACACAAATCATAGTAAACATGCATTTAAAGTTCATAAAGTAATGAAACAGAAATGTGTTGAAAGTCGACTATACATTCATCTTAAATCAATATTGACTTCTTCCCTCATAAGCTGTATTTGGGGATCGTTCATACCCAATAGAAACATTATAGAATAGTCAAGCAGTACTTTTCCAAAAGCGTTATTATGAAATCTTCCAATTGTTCTAAGTTTAATACTTCTTTAATTAATAATATACATAGAAACACTCAGCTAACTTAATTATAACTAATATTTTTTTCATTAAAAACTGAAGTACTGGTAAGCAGAACACAAGCAGTTTAGCTAGCACAACTATACAGATTGTAATACATTACCTAGTTAGTAATAATTTGAGACTAACTCCTTGAATTGCCAAGGCAAAGTTCAACATGTCGAAAATAAGGCTGGTTATTGTAAAACTCTCGTAGAAGTCACAAGGGTACTGTTATGCAAATATGGTAAGTTAAACTAATTAATAGATCATTGCAACAATCTTGAAAACAATATGATTAAATAGTGGTCTTATAAATATGCTACACAATAAACCTTCGAGTTATAAACATAGTGAGCTTATCTCATCTGAAATGTCAGGATCGAAAAATTTCGAATCCCAATAATGAATTCTGAAAATATTTACATCAACAAGGTCCCTTCTATCTGACACTATCGTCGACCCATAACGGAAAATTAATGTTTTATTTCGATCTTCATTATCATCACAGAATGACATCAACTAAAGAAGTAATAGATTCAGCGGACCGACTGGAAAGCTGTCCTGTTGTACGTTTGTGATGCAAATGTTAATGAATAATGAATTTCACTCATATATCATTGTAAAACTGATATTTTATTGGGAATATTTTATCAAAGTTACATTTAACGTTATTTCTAAAACAAATAAGTGAAACACTAAGCACACTTACTTTAGAGTTCAGAAGTTTACCTAGTTTATCTAGATTATCTTTTGCTCGATTTAAACTAAGCAAAGATTCCAAAAACATGAGATCTGATATTGCAATTTGAGCACTAAGCAATTCATGTAGTATGACTACTTCTAGTCTAAATAAGAGAACGAATTCGTAATCGAATAACAACAATAATAATAAGCTAACTTGATTGATTGAGATATATGGAGAAATGCTTTGGTAAGTTCATTTTCAGTAACTGAAAGTTGGTTTAATATATTTTTGAGAGAACTGATGAGTGACGAACAGCTTGTAATAATTAATAGGGGATTTTCTGCAATTTTTCGATATCTAACAAATATTTTTAAGTAGTAAAATAGCAAAATGTATTTTCATAATCAAAAAATAAGAATGATGGCACTTATCTGCATAATATAAGTCTTAGAGAATTATACAAATTAATTAATATTAAATAAGCTTGTACTACAGAAATTCACTTATGATTACAACAGCTTAAATAATAACAACTCGAAGAAAAATTGTTATTAATCCAAATTAATGATCAAGAATTGATCCATCTACTCGGCTTTGAAACACGTATAAGGATAACCTATATGATCTAAAGCTTAAGCCAGAGTAGAGTTCGATCTATAACTCAATGATTACAATTCAAAAGGGCGAGACAATAATTTATGGACGAGTCAATCAGAAGCGAATGGGAAAATTCAAGATCGTGTCGCTTATTTTAATACACAATGCTCGTGCATAATCGGTTTATAGCGGATTCTAAGGACGTTATAGTTGAGCGGCTACAACAAATGTCATTATTAATAAGCCCTTTTATTTGTGATCGCGGTGTTAAAATGGTGCCTGGACATTGTGCAGAGTACCGCGACGATGTTGTACTTTGACCTAATATAAGTTGGGAGACAAAGTGCTAGGACGGGGGACTTTTTCACTAGATCCTGATTAAAACTAAGACGGATTATGATAATTGTTGTAAACTGGATAATAGGAGCACCAGTAACACCGGCTAAAACCTTTGAAGATGTTACTGAAACTTCGGGAGTTTAATGGTATGAGCACTGTCGAGATATATGTACAATAAAGATGACGAGCTTGAATCAATCGTCTGGAGGAATTAGGAGAATAGTAGGAATCGACAAAACAGTTGTTAGAAAACGCAAATTCAATATAGGAAGAAGTGTTAGAGAATACTAGGTAATTAGCACTTACTTAAGTATAATTGGCAGGTCTTTGGTATATACTATAGATCATTACAAGAGAAACGCTATATACACGGACGACTGGAGAGCATATCGACGCATATCTAGACTTCGTTACGTGCACCGTGTCGCTGTTCACAAGAGACGTTTTGTAGACCCCACCATTGGAATATATACCAAAAATATTGAAGCAATGTGGTCTAGGCTAAAAGAATTTTTGCGACCTTGGCTCCAGAAACCGATGGTTGTGTAGCTACATAGATGAGTTCCTGTACCGTATACATTACAATTTAAAAACTGCAGAGCCTCTTTCTAACCTGGAAGAACTTTTAAACCACGTTAAAGAAGTGTACTCACCTTAACGTTTTGGTTTTGTATAATATATCCTTACTAAATATCAACTATTTACTAATCGGCTGAAACTTAATTAAGATTTGTTCAAAAGTAATTCTTCAATTATAGTCTGGACACCATAAGTAATTTTTATAGCATGTGAATATAGTTGTCTTGTACTAATCTATCAAAAGATACATCCAGTCACACTGCTTTCAGCTGTTTGTAATATGTACAGCGAAATAATACAAAACGTATCTGATACAAAAACTGCTAAGTTATCAGAAAATATATTTAATGGATTCTGTTAAAGGTGGTTTAATTAATCTTTGAAAATATCGATTGTGATACGCACCTAAACACTTAATTCATAATTTGCATCCCTTAAAGCACTTTGTGGATGATTTAAGTCCGCATGGAGATATAAACTACCATTTTACACTCTTTCGAGCTTTACATGAGCCAGATAAAGAGAGCAGTGTAGTAACGAATCACCTCCATTATGGAAGATCAATGAACCATGGAATGTAAATCCACCATTTGATTCCGCACATAATATTTAGGGTAACATCGGTGGGTAGTAGTGGTGGTGGTAATGAAGTCTATAAAGACACTATGACAGTGCACAGTGGATGGTCTATAGCTAAACTATTAGCCCCCAAATGCGTTGGTACGCTCGAGGGTAGGAAGAGTTCGCTCTCCCTCTCGAAATGCTCTCACGTGCCCACGCGTATACAGCTACTGTCAGGGAGGTCTTAATCACTGCCTTCTCGCGCCACGGGTGTTGTTTACGAAATTGAGTGGTCGAAAAGAGAATATCCGGCGCTTTCACCGGGTTGGTCGATATGAAACATCCAACTGGTGGAGTTGGAAAACCTTAATTCCAAACCAGTGGTGCACATAGGCCTCAGGATCCTGAGGGAATAAATGGCGTATGGACCAATTATCGGTCACCGACCACCATGGGACTGCATCTCATGACGTCGCTCCACTGTCTTGTGGATCTGACATTTAGGTCGAAAAATTCGAGTGTGGCCCCCTAAGAAAACCACCTGCTTCCGTCTGGGCACCCGGTCAGTATCACAGCCCATACACAAATCAAGTGACTTGTGTTGAGCATATGTATACGGTGCACCTTGTACCGATATTTATGTGATCAAATAAATTCAGTTCACTTCAGTCAAATAAAAATCTTTATCCCAGTCAATGAATGTATACTAGATAAAAAATAAAGGCACCAAATCCTATGGATCTAACGCGAGGTGAAAATCTATGTATAAATTCTATCTAGGCGATACCTTGATGCAACAGCAAAAGTTTGCTTACCACAACAATTCGATGGACCTAACAGCTTAAAATGACTTGAACAACCTGACTAGTTACTATGTAAGAAATCACGTTGAACTAAAAAATAACTTAAAGGTACACTATTTCTTAAACAGTAACTCCGCTTATTTGTATGCAGTAGCAGACTATTTGCACTTCCTGATTAATTTTTAAAGAAATAAAAAGGATACAATGATATTAATTGTCCTCTGGATGCAGTTAAGATTTGCATATATACAGAAAAATAAAGCTCATTATTTGACAAAGTAGGACTGTTGAATACACTGTCAAAACCAGCACGTAATGAGTTATATGATTCTAAACAGTCCTGTTGTACTTAACAATGTGACAGAATGTTTACCTCTTTTCGTGAGAATAAAGATCTATTAGGAAATATGTCAAGAGATACATAATCACGTTCAAGTCGACAAAATAAGTATAGTGCTTCACTATAAGTGATTTTCGAATCAGCGAACACTAGTTTCCCAATAAGCGGTACCGAATTCTGTGGAGAAATCAAAATAAGCTTATACTTACTGACAGAACTTTTTGATCGTCTAACTTAGCAGATAATATACACCGGAAAAAACTGTCTAGCGATTCCATGATACATTGTGACTGTGATGAGTTTCCCGACATCTGGAAAATACTAGAGAAGAATTAAACTAACTAACAAAAAGGAATAGGAAGCAACCAAAGTTGAACATTGAAGATTTTTCTAAACTAGGACGAGAAGTTTGCCTGTTGATAAAATTCAAGAAGACAAACCAGGATCGCCTTCCTGCTTATGTAATTTAAAGTCACTAACTGGCAACGTGATTAACATCAAGATCAAAAAAGCAACAACAAAATTATGATTTAAATGGTTCAACGTCAAAGACAAAAAGCAGCAAACCCTTCTTTAGCGCTGATGGGGCAGGAACATTTTGCCTTTCTTTTAAAAAATGTACCAAACTATTTACATTAAAATACTTTACCTACACAGACAGAAGTAGCTGTAATTTATCAACGCCATGTAAGCTATTAGTGTGTACACAGAAATAGCAGATCAACCTAATCAGTATTTCATGCTCTGATCGTCTGGAACCATACGAATTCGGGGAATAAAAGTCCTTGATTGCTTTGTAAACATTTGGAGTGTGGCTATAAATCTTCATAATTTATTCAAAACATAAGAATATTTAACGAGAGAGGATGTTTTTCACTATCATATAACAGCTAGACGATAAACAATGTTTTTTTATTATCTGCATGTACAGTGAACACCAAGAAGAGCAAGAAGTACTACAAAAATACAACACTTGATACTGCAGGAATTTCTATAGACACCGTAAGCAATTACCCTATTTTGAAGTGTCCATTTTGAGGAAATGACACAAAAACTCGAAAATGTCGCCAGGTCTTGAGAAAATCCAATTTTGAGGACAGTCCCAGGGATTTCACGGAAAATTTGGGTTTTCCCCCATGCTTCTCCAGAATATTTCCAAGCTGCCAGCTTTGGGGAAATCCCCAAAGTGAAATAGCCTCCCCCAAAGTTTTGAGAAATTTTGGGGATTTCCCCAGGTCTGGGGAAATTTTGGGGTTTGCGTCTCATTTCCTCGAAATTTATTATAGCGGCTTCCCCAAAATGAACCAAATTTTCCCCAAAGTTGGCAGCTTGGGTTGTAACACTGCAGAAATCCATACACATTACGCTGCTAAGACAGATTGGTTAGTAGATACTAGCATATCAGTTGAAGAAGCATGGTCTGTATTTAAAGGTAAATTTAGACTAGTTACGTCCCCGTTCATACCATACTTGGTACCGCGAAGACCGAATAATAGTCCACCATGGATAACTAAAACGGTCAGGAAACTCCTTAGAAAAAGGAAGAATCACTGGAATATGTTCATCTCTACTGGCTTAGAACAATACAGATCCAGTTATTGTAAGATTAGGAATGCCTGTAAAGCGTTAATAAGCAAGACTAGACATTCATACGAAAAACAATTGGTTAGGGATTCTAGATATAGTCCGAAACGGTTATTCTCGTATATAAAAAGGCGAACTAAGAGAAGCGATGGAATTCCATCACTTTTGATACGAGACAATCCGTTAATCTTAGCAGAGAATGATGCCGAAAAAGCTGAAGCTTTATCGGAATATTTTAGTAAAGTGTTTTCTATCGGTAATGAGGAACGACCAATGATTCATTGTAACCGTGACGGCTCGCTGATGGATCCTGTAGTCATTGAGAAAGATACTGTTTTAAGGCTACTTCAGCATCTCAAACCTGATAAGTCCAGTGGTCCCGATGATATTCATCCTAGGGTTATGAAAGCCATATCAGGTGAAATCGCTGAACCATTAGCGATACTATTCGACATGTCTCTGAGACAGTCCAGACTTCCTAGAGACTGGAAAGACGCCATAATAAGTCCGGTGTATAAGGCTGGGAGTAGGGATTTAGTTAGTAACTATAGACCCGTTAGCTTAACTAGTGCAGTTGTAAAACTGATGGAGAAAATCATTCAGATAGCTGTTATAAACTATGTTGAAGGGCAAAATCTTTTCTCCAGGGCACAACATGGTTTTCGGAAGGGCCTATCTTGCTTGACAAATCTCATTGCACGAGGAGATTGGGCTGCGGCAAAGGATCTGAATGCTCCTGTGGATGTGATTTTCATAGATCTAAGTAAAGCCTTTGATAAGGTTTCCCACTCTGGTCTTAAATTCAAACTGGAACGTTTTGGAATCCATTATACAGTCGTCGATTGGATAAGTAACTTTCTCCATGACAGGAGACAAAGGGTAAGGGTTAATGGGGCTCTCTCCTTGTGGGTACCTCTAAAAAGTGGGGTTCCCCAAGGTACAATCCTAGGTCCTCTTCTCTTTTTACATTATGTAAATGAATCAGTCAGTCAGTCAGTCAGTAACAACGTAGAACTTCGTACGTACGTACATCAGTTCGAGTTGCCACACCACATTAGCACAGAGATGCAGTGGTCGATTCAAATCCCGTAGTGGTAAAGGTAGCAAGAGTATAAGCAGTAATCGGGAAGATTAGGGTTTGGAGATGTTATTTAAAGAGTATAATCCGGTGAAAGAAATTTGGGAAGAGGGAAAAAGGGACATGAAGAATTCAGAAGATTAGAGTTTGGGAGAACACAGAGAGTGGATGCACCTGCGCCATTGCGAACGATTTTGAGCCATGTCATTCAGGGTCTCTAACCATCGGTTGCTGTCATCTCGCGGTCCCCAACCAGGTAGTCTACACCTACCAACATGACTCAGTTCACTTGTCAGTGACTTCATGGACTTGTGCCATGTTTTGGTCTGGCCGCCCCTAGCTTTCTTCCAACCTACTCCTATACCACTGAACATAGCACGTCGAGGCAGTCGGTCGTTGGGCATACGTAACACGTGTCCCAGCCATCTCAACTGATGAAGTTTCACTACTTCATCAATTGATTTGCCATCCTTACCTAGTACCCGTTTCCTGACAACTGTGTTACTTACTCGATGGTCCCAGGATATACGAGCAATGTTTCGAAGACACCTATGATCGAATACTAGTAACCTACGGATATCCTCTACTCTTACCGGCCATGTTTCACTGCCATAAAGTAGGACGGAACGAACTGCTGCGCAGTAAACACGTCCTTTGGTTGATAGACGGATATCTCGCCTACGCCATAAATGACGCAAGTTGGCAAAAGCTAGTCGAGCCTTCTGTATCCGTGCTGAGATTTCGTCACAAACCAAACCACAAGGGCTGATGAGACTTCCAAGATAAGTGAAGCGGTCGACACACTCAACTACTTCACTCCCTATCACTAGTTCGGGTGTCGATGTAACCCAATCCTGAAGCAACATTTTACATTTCGAGGGAGAGAATCGCATCCCGAACATGCTTGCATTGTTGCTTAGAGTGGTCAGAAGACTCTGCATTTTGTCAGCGTCTTCACCAAATAAAACTATGTCATCTGCATATTCTAAGTCAACAAGTGAACCTCCCGGTAGAAGTTCAACCCCTGGAAATTTAGATGAGGAGAGTGTTATCTCTAAAAGTACGTCAATGACAAAGTTGAACAAGAATGGGGAGAGTGGACAGCCCTGACGAACACCACTTGAGGTGATCAATTCTGATGACAGTTCGCCATAAGCTCTCACTCTACCAGTTGTGTTCGAGTAGAGAGCCTTTATAAGGTTAATGTACTTCTTTGGTACTCCTTTCAGTGACAAACACTGCCATAGAACCTCACGATCAACGGAGTCGAATGCCGCCTTAAGGTCGAGAAATACTACCATTGTGGGGCGTCTGAATGTGTGTCTCTGTTCTAGAACCTGACGTAGTGTGAATATCTGATCTATACAACCACGTCCAGGTCGAAAACCAGCCTGGTTTTCTCTAGTCTGTTCTTCACGAGCTTTAGTTAGGCGTCGAAGTATTATTGAGGCCAATATTTTAGACACTATATTAGTCAAACTGATTCCTCTGTGATTGTCACAAGAGGACTTTTGTCCTTTCTTAAAAACTGGCACAATCAGTGATTGAGACCAGTCAGATGGGATTACGTCCAGTTCCCAAATTCTACCTAAGACCTCAGTTAATCTTGCTGCTAATACTGGACCACCATCCTTAAAAATCTCAGGAGTAAACATGTCAGGGCCTGCTGCTCTCCCTCGTTTCAGATTTCTTATGGCTTTTTCAACTTCGTAAAGGGACGGAGGACTTACATTAACTTGCCATTCAGGTTGACTGGAGATCGTGGGAAACCGAAGTGTGGCTGAAGGCCAGTTGAACTGATCCCTAAAGTGTTCTGCCCATCGATCCAATCTCCTGGATTGAGAATGAATAATATGTCCATCTTTCTCTGAGATTGTTTCGCTAACGGTCGGTTTCCTAATTCCGGTTTCCTTAACGAGTCTAAACAATTGTCTGCTATTACCTATTGCCGCTGCCTTTTCCATCTCTCTTGCTTTCGCTACCCACCACTGTTCACGATCATTGCGTAGACTTCTTGTCAGCTTGCGCTTAAGCTGACTCCGCTCTTCATTATGTTCAGAGCCAGGTGGAATGAGTTTTCGAGCATCTATCAGTGCGATAGATGCTGCTGAGATCCAGTGTTGCTCCCTAACTTTACGGTTTACCTTACTAGCAGATATCACTGCTGTTTCCACAGCTTTTCGGATATCGTTCCATGCTGCCTCGGGGTGGGCATCACATACATGGCTGCCTAACTCTTTTCCTAGTTGTTCCTGAAATATACTCTTAGCTTGACTATCATTAGGTAGGGCCCTAAGAGGTTTCCTTGCAGGATCTTTCCTACGTCCAGTAAGACGCAAGCAAATACGCGCTCGCACTAGAGCATGATCTGAATCTAGGCATGTGCTCCAGAATGAGCGACAGTCTTCTATCGAGCCCCTCCATCGGTGGCTGATAGCGATGTGATCTATTTGGGTCCAACGTTGGGACGAATTAGGGGGTCGCCATGTTAAAAGATGTTTTTCCTTATGCTTAAAGTTAGTATTTGCAAGGAACAGGCGGTTATCTGAACATAGCTGCAACAGACGGTCGCCATTATCTGTTCTTTGAGCCACGACACCATAGGATCCACCTAGGTGTCTTTCCTTATCGCTTAGTTTACCTACTTGAGCATTAAAGTCACCGGCCACTATTACTACATCCGAGCGCTTAGCTTTTCGGAGAAGGTCCGAAAGCTTTCTGTAAAACTCATCTTTTACATCATCTGAGCTGCAGTCAGTGGGAGAATAGGCAGAGACGACGAAGAGGCAACGACGAGTGTCCCTATCTTTCCGGATTCTTACTGTTCCGTTCAGTCGGACAGCGCACAAACGACTGTTTACTGGGATCCACTCTAAGAGAGCTAGTTCTGCCCTAGGACTCAATGCTATACCTACGCCGGCGAGGCCACGGGAAGCAGAATCAGGGCTTCCAGATACACGAAGCGTAAATCGAGTCGGTTGTTTATTTTGGCATGGTGAGGTCAAATGAATGACGCTACTCGGATCTTGTATGCGCGTTTCGGAGACGCAGCACACATCGATGGCGCGAGATTCTAAAGTCCTAGCTAAGGAAGCCTGTTGTCCTATTTGGCACAGTGTTCGTACGTTAAAAGCTCCTACGTGTAGTTTAGAGCGTGGTTTCAGGAGCCCAGGAATGGCGTTCCACGTACTCGAATCGTTTGCCCTAGCGGTGCGAGGTGATAAAGAGACGTGAGGAGGGTTAGTCGGGAGGATAAGAGAGGTATTAGGAGGTGTAGGAAGGATTTGAATGTGACCACCTTGGTCTCTTGTGCTGTTACGGGTATGAGGGCTGATGTCACTTCCCGGCTGCCCACACCGTGGAAGGGTATTTCTTGATGAACCTGAAAAGGAAATTGGATTAGTGTTGGTCTTGACGACCTGGGAGCGTGACCGCAGAGCCCAAGGGACAACTGCTTGAGGCCGGTCGCGCACGGCCTTTTTGTGGAAGGTTTTTGACGTGTTAGCTCCGTTCTTCAAGGGGCCTTACCGCCGGAGACGGAAATCCGTGAGGTAAGGTGAGGTGTGACATTTTTAGGGTCGACCTTTTCTAACCCCACCCCTCCTTGTGGGAAGGCAGCATCGCTGTCATGCTGGTTGTCCGAGGGAAACACCTTACTGCTGTCACACCTCTCTACAGTCAGCAGTACGACTTCGCCCTCAGACCTTGAGTTGCTGCTTTTAGTCTTACCGTTCGCCAATCGACCTGCCTGGCATGGTAGAACCTGCAGGAACATATGTTCCAGCCAATATAGCTCGGTTGGGTCATCACGATAGGCAAGCCCGACCACCGCGTCAAGGTAGCAGCTTCGATCGGGATGTAAATGAATTGCCAACTGTAGCAAAATCATCCGTTCTACTCTTCGCTGATGACATAAAGATTTGGAGACCCATACATAGTATGTCGGATAGAATAGTATTACAGGACGATCTTAGCTATTGGTGGCATGGTTAGACAGGTGGTCACTAGAAGTAAATCCTAATAAGAGTGTAGTGGTGCAGTTAAATAACTCTGATGAATCGTATGACTATACATTACGTGGATTCGTGCTACCCAAAGCAAGAAACTATAAAGATTTAGGAGTCATATTAAGCAATGATCTCAAAATGACTAGTCACTGTAAGGCTGCTGCTGCAAAAGGCTATAGGGTATTATGGTCAATTCGTAGGTCTTTCCAGTATTTAGATGATAAAATGTTTGGATTACTATACCCGATTTATGTGCGACCACATTTAGAATACGGGATTCAAGCAGCGAGTCCTTGTTTCAAATATGAAGCAGATATGCTAGAAAGAGTCCAACGACGAGCTACTAAGATGGTATAAGGTCTAGCTGGCCTATCTTATGAAGACAGACTGAGACACCTTAACTTATTTCCGTTATCTTACCGTAGAGTACGGGGTGATCTAATATTGGCTTATCGTATACTGAACGATGACCTTGGTATTAACATGTCTTATCTTTTGCTTCCGTCTAGAACCGATCATTTGAGAGGACATTCGAAGAAAGTTCAAAAACCGAGATCAAACCGTTTACGTCTGGAGTTCCGTTTCTCGCACCGAGTAGTGAATTACTGGAATTCCCTACCGGAACACGTAATATCAGCACCGTCTGTTAATATATTCAAAAAGAGATTGGACCTCCACAGTATTACAAACTGCAAGGATTATTATAGGTCGACAGACCTATTCTTATTACTGAAGACTGAAAAGACCCTGCTCTTATGATTTTAAAAAAACTGCCCAAGATCTCTCAAAAAGCATGCAGAGAAGTACCATAATAATAACGGCAAAGCTCTATGACCTTAAAAACAACAAAAGCAATAGCTGATCCTCTGAATGTGAGTGTTTCCAAAGAAATTCTTCCCTAGAACAAGAAAACCGACTGCAAACCTTGAGAATTTAACCAGCGAAATAAAACCTCTAGATACATTAAAATTTTGACATTATTTAAAGACCAAATTTTAGTTTTACAAACCGTGACTTAATAAAAACTTGATGCGGTAGACCTCAGCATCGAAATTACCTCTTTTTCGTTTTGATGACCTTGAGTGTCTTGCTGTCATCCTTCAGTCTTCAGTCTCCAATAATAATGATAGTAGGTTGTTGAACCTGTGTTAATCCTGACAGATTGCCTTCCAGTGGAGGTCCAGTTTCTCCTTGAAAATATTCACTGATAGGGCTGATGCCACTTGTTCGGGTAAGGCGTTCCAATGATTGACTACTCGATGAGAAAAAAGGGACCCCACTTTAAGTTTTTTAGATCGTGGTTTATGAACCTTCTTGCTATGACCTTGGAGATTATTAGTGCTGGAGGGAGCAAAAATATAAGACACATAAACACCCAAATCATAATTAAAGGTGTAGTGACTCACATTTATCACGAGAACACGACTGGTTTAATAAAAACAATTATTATCATAACCAACTGTACCAGTGCTTGTTTTAATGTGCTTTTGTTCGACTGTGCTAATGACAGATATGTTGTGCTTCCATTCTTATTCTCACACTTTGATTGTGACTTCGTGCGAATTCGGTTACGTTCTGTAACCAAGCTTGTATCCTGGCACGATCTCGATATCCTTTCGATACCACGAGATCGCCAGCAAATACATATCTCGACTTAGTCCATTAACTGCCTTCTGATATTTGGCTTCCGGGGGATTTTATGGATTTATTTGGTTACCTTCAACCTTCGCCTTCTGATTCACTTGGCACATGTTTCTTGGTAGCGGTGTTCATAGTCAATCTCGACTCGACGCCACGCTACAATGGTACGAAATGCCATTATAAGGTCACCTCGCGTCCTACGATACGACAAGGGAAAAAGATTTGGGCGCTTTAAACGCTCATCGTAAGGGAGTTTAGATAGACCCTTCACTAATTTCGTTCCCACACTCCGGACACGCTCAAGTGAGTTAGTATCCTTTACCAGAAATGGGCTAGCTGCTTGGATACACTACTCTAAATGTGGTCTTACGTAGGTGGGATATAAAATTCGAAGCGTTTCCTCGTCAAAAGATTTGAACGCTCAGCGAAGTGACCATAACGCACGAAAACCTTTGACAGCGGCTGTCCTGCAATGCGTAGTTCTTTTTAAGTCATGACTTATTATTACTCTTAAGTCTTTATGCTCTTGAACGCATGGAAGAGGTTTACCATCAAAAGTATAATGGTAACTATTACCGTGACCGATGTGCATTAGCACACTCTTCCTAGCATTGATTTCTAAGCTCCAGCCTCGAGCCCATCTAACTAAATCGTCTAAGTCAGCTTGAAGATCCAGATGATCAGCCTCACTTTTTATTGTTCTCCCGATTTTTACATCATCCTCAAACAATAATGTCGACGACCTAAGTAACTGCGGTAACTCATTAACGTAGAGAAGGAAGAGCAGAGGGTCTTAGATGGTGCCTTGAGGTACACCACTTTTGACCGGCTTCCAATCGGATAGCGTCTCATTGACTCTCACTCTCTGTCTGCGGTCACATAAGTTGTCTATTCACTCCTGTACAGTACCTATTATTCCGAAGCTCGTAAGCTTCTGCATAAGACCTACGTGTGAAACCTTGTCAAATGCTTTGCTAAAATCTATGAATATCACATCGGCAGACAGACTGTTATCTAAGGCTGCTGTCCAATCTTCTCTCGTAATAAGTAAGTTAGTCAAGCATGAACGCTTGTTATTAAATCCATGTTGCTCAGGAGCTAACAGATTGTGTGAATCTATGTGGGTTAGCAACTTAACCCGAATTATCTTTTCAAGTAACTTAACGACTATGATAGTTAGACTGACAGATCGGTAGTTAGATACTATCTGTCTCTGACCGTCCTTAAATATAGGACTGACTATAGCGTCCTTCCAATCTCTAGGGAGTTGAGCGAGTGAAAAGGACATGTTGAAGAGTGTTGCAAGTGGTTTTGAAATAATGTCTTCGGGAGATGACAGCAACCGTGGACGTAACCCGTCAGGGCACGGTGTCTTACCAAGTTTGAGGTTAGTTATCAACGGAAGGACAGTTTCCTCAGTCACCTGTACAGATTCAATGGTTGGTATCTCGGTGTGAGTGGGACAAGTATTTGTTACAATAAACGTAGAGAAGACTTCGTTAAAATAGTTTGAAAAAGTCTCAGCTTTTGCCCGATCTGATTCAGCTAGTAAATCTGAATTTTCGTGTAACAGTAACGGGAGAATACCTTCATTACGTTTCATTCGCTGTTTAACATACGAAAACAATCGTTTCGGACAAGTACGGTTATCATATACTAACTGTCGTTCGTACGTGATACGGGATTCGGCTATGGTTTTCTTACAGATATTACGGAATTTTTGGTACTCACGCTTAAATGGTTCATGACCTGTCAACAAGAATAATTCCCAGAAATGTTTCCTACGCTTTAACAGCTTCCGGGTTTCCTTATTAATCCATGGAGGGCAATGTGATAGCTTACGTGCTGACCATGGGATAAACGGCGACGCTACGGACTTGAATGTAGCCCTAAACGTATTCCATTCACCTACGATCAATCCATCCGCGTCGACCGACCAATCAGTCGAGATAGCACAGTCTCTGATTGCCGGAATATTAGCTCGTCAGATATTGGGACGGGGTGGAGCAGATACGAATTGTATACCATGTGTCTCCCACTGTTCACTAGTGGGGGAAAGTGCTGAATATCAAAGACATCCTCACAGTGGTGGGTGAGAGCGAGGTCCCGCAGTGACGGACGATGTTGCAAATCAACATCAGTCGGTTTTGTGATACATTGTACAAGTGCAAACTGAATAACGGTTGATAAAATGTCACTATGGAAACCTCCATCTGGAGCTGTAAGCTCTATCCAGTTGATATGCGGTGCGTTGAAATCCCCAATGATGAGACAACATTCTGCCATACTCCAAGAGTAGGTGTGTGTTAAGATAAAGTCATCAGCAAGGCAACACGGACTACGGTATATTCCCTTTATAGTCACTAACCCATTTCTAGATTTAATCTTACAACATGCCACCTCATATTTACCACTAACATGAGCCTATGATATGGTTGATTGTATACGAAAGTGATCCCTAACGTATAACATTATGCCTGCCCCCTTGCGACTTAAAACTCTATCACTTCTAATACAGATATACCCGCGATGACGGGAGAACATTCTATATCTATTGTGAATCAAGTTTCTGTGACAGCAATTATATTAAGAGTGAATTCGTCCACCATCAGACTTAGCTCGGAAGTTTTATTTCTAAGACTACGGGCGTTCGTGTAGCGCACACTTAAGGTGTTTTGGCAATCATTCGTTATATTCTTACAGGCCTCGGAAGCATCGGCTTCCTAGACCTGACTACCCCAAAACCCTTAATAGTAAGGTTAGTTTCACCATATAACTTGTGAGTTCTCAACTCCATAAGCGCATTCTTCCAATTGATTCCATCCTCAAGCGGCCAATCTGGTTGAATACGGATATTTGAGTCACGAGGATTTTGTGCGTTTTTCAATACTATATCTCTCTCTTCAAATTTCCCGAGAACCAGCTTCAAGGTCCTTCTTGGTTGGGTCTCGCCTCCAACCCATTTACCAAGTCGTATTACTTTCCTGATATGTACCCCTGAAACCTCTTCAGGTAGTACGTTTCTTATCACAGATTCCACCAACTGCAGATCATGCGCATGTCTTCTAGCAGGATCGTTGTCTTTCGACTCCTATAGATTCCAAATAATTAAACTAGGGAGGAGGTTAGCTTCTTTTGAAACCGTGTTCACAGCTTTCGATCATGACGTTAGATCCTGTATATTAACTACTGGTATTCTACGATTAGTTTTTATTGTAGCAGAGTCATGGGAGTCAAGCGAGTGACTCACAACAATATTTGACGAGGCTATACGTTGGGACTTTGGCGGACTGGTCTGAGAGTCCACCAAGGACTTATCAAGTAAACGGTCTTTAGTTTTAGCCGTCTTACCTACTCTTCTGCATTTCCGCGTCATCCATATTCCATCAGTCATAGCATCCACATTAGAACCACTCGGAAGAGTAGTTGTTTTATCTGGGTCACCGGTTGCTGCTGTAGCGATATGGCCACCGAGATCTAATGAGATATCACTCATTGGTTGTTTCAGGGCAGACGGCTTGATTACGGGTTGCACAGTTAGATGTCTGGCTTGCGCCGTGACAGTACTTACATTTGATGTTTCTCAGGATGGTGTCGCATTTTTAGGCCAGATTAGCTCTGCATATTTTGAAAATATTTAATGATGAATGACCATGTGCATCGTCTATTTTTGCCTTTCAGATAAATAAGACCCCTGCGTTGTGTTGTTTAATGGTAGATCTAAGGCTAACCGTGGATGAGTTCGCGCCTTTAATCCTTTCGAGATGGCACTAACTTTTCTCTCCACCTGTTAAATGGCAATACTGCTTCAGGTACTTTTGAGAGCATTACGTTCGGCTTCAGTGGTGCTTTCCGGCAAATAATCTTATACAAAAAGCCTTCGGTGTGAAAAAATAAAAATAACTTCGAAGATTTGCGACGCTTGGGAAAAATATAATGCTGGCAGGTTCATATAACGCGTATACGTCATGTTTATCTACAAAGGAAAGAAATTCACGGTGTGCGCTACATATATTTATTTGTTATTTTCAAGTGCATGTTCGCGATGAAATGAAAACCGCAATCAATCGATATTGTTCGTAAATCATCCGAGTATCAAATTATACGAAACAAAATTGGAAATATTTCGTGTTTTTCGTTAATGATTGTCCATGACCAAAATAGTACAAATAAATCAGTCGTATTCGTGTAGAATTTTGATATAGTTTGGTATCAGTACATTTATCTTTGCTACCGTAATAATAGACCTAATTCCTACCGCGACAATCAGCAGTATGACGTCTAGCACATATGAAAAAACACCTTTGGGCTGGAAAGAGGCTAATATAGTCGATGTAAATGGCACAAGCTTACATATAGTGACCACGCCTGCATGACCAAGTCATGAAACTTTA